GCTGAGCGCTGTTTAGTATAAAGTTGAATGTTGCATTGGGCTCTTACTAATTCGCTCGCCCAAAAATTTCACGTGACTTTGGTTTTTATGGTTTTGCAGCCGTACAAAACGGTTTTACATAAACCCTGATCCCAACCCTAACCCTAACCATAACCCCGAAGCTATCCATAACCCTTACCACAACCTTAACCCTAACCCGAGCCCTAAACACTCGCGCGTCGAATTCATGTTTTACTAGCCTGTTACGTGACCAAAACGGTTTTTTGCCCATAACTCTCCAGGGAAGCATTTTTACCCTTTGGAGGACTTCGCCGCTTCGTCGCTGAGCAACGATCTCGATGGGTTGACATCGTCAACCAATTTTACCCTACGTCATGGAGGGTGATTCGGAATCAGCGTCCAAAAAGACACCGATTCAGATCAATATCACACTCAAAGTAAAAGGCCTTTTCACAAGAATTTTCTTAAAATTTGGGCGAGCGATTTAGTAGGAGCGGTTGCATTGTCGCATTGACGGCATATTAAAAAAATTTAAACGCAGCTGCAAGTGCACGCTGCAAGAAATTAAAAATTACAACAAATTTAAATAAGTTGCTATTTAAGATTTATTTAAATAAAACCCCAAAAAAGTGGTTTAATGGTCGAAATTTTGCGCGCACTTCATTTTTGATTTTAATTTTGGTACTTTGGTGTTATATTTTGGACATTTTTTATTTATTTTCTAATAATGACTTATATAGTTATCAGCACATATTATTAAATTTAATATAATGTATATAATTCTTACCAAAAAATAATTTTTTTTAAATTTATGCGCGCCGCGCATATTTTCGACAATTTACACCGAAGTATCAAAATCAAGCGCTATTTCCACAAAAATACCTTACAAGTTATTAAGTGTTGTTGTTGCACTTCGGAACTCCTTTTTCCTCCATTTGATTATCATTTCGACGTGTAATTAAATTGTTAACTATATTGTTATGTTTTCTCATTGATGTGAAATTACTCATTTATACTGATTTCATTCCCATGGTTTTTATTACATACTTTATCCTGAAAGGTAGACTCTACCATAGTAATAAGATGTTGAATGAAATCCTTTTCATCATATTCAACCAGTAAAGATTGAACTGTTCATCCTCAAGATGGTCATGTTGATATTGCCCATTAAAGTATTTGGCTAAATCATTTTGTAACTGGAGCTGATGTAGTAGCTTCTTGTCAATTCCAAAGTATAAGCCATTATAGTAGTCTCAACATGCCACAATTAAACTGTAGACCTTAATCTGTTTGGGACTGAGTAGGAATCAAATTTATTTTCTGATATTAGCAACGTGTGGAAAGATTTATTGATGAGATTCATAATGCGAATACTAATGTGCATTCCGCTTCAATTTTCCTTTATATTACGCTAGGTAGCTTAACCCATTAGGGACGATAGGGGCGTTTTCATTATATGTAGCCCAATAAATGTTGAGCATATATGCTATAGATTCGTTATAGCGTTTAGTAATTTGGTTTTTCGTCTAGAAAAGGTGGGTCATAAAAACGACCCTATCGTCCCTAATGGGTTAAAGCATTAGGTAATATCAGCTTCAGTAATGCCTAATCATGTGATAGTGTGCTACAACACCATAATTGGGCTCTCTGTATGATTTCTATATTGTAGATCTGATTTCAACCCAATCACCTGATCACACTTAAGGAACAAACTCGTTATGCTTCATATCTCAGTCATCTGAGAAGCTAGAACTCTCATTTTTCAGGGCAAATGTAATTTGAATAGCCAAACATAATTCAATACAATTTAGCTAGATCCAATCATATTTTAATCAATAAAATAAATGCAAAAATTAACCTTCATTCGAAAAAAATGTTTACGAATACACTTTGATTTGATGTATTCCTCAAATGAGTGGTGATAGGAAGTCACACCAGACAAAATTATCTCAATCGGGCACTCAATGACTGACTTTTGCCAATTTTGCTAGTAGTTTAAGGACACGTTCATAAAAAAGATGAAATTCAGCCAAAATTTGTTAACTGTGATTTTTGTGTCTTCTTATCAAAATGAGAAACATGATAATCATCCCATGGTTAAGTTAAACGTTCAAATTTTGCAATGCTGAAATCGCCAAATAATTTTTTTCCTTAGTTACGGAGTGATAGTCGTTTAGTTTGGGGCTCTGAAAATAACACAAAAGTCACAAAATTTCTATTTTTGGTTTAACACAACCTCTATTATGGGGCCTATTTTTCATTTTGTATGGTCAATATTGATAGTACAAGTTCTTATCAGTCATATGATACGATTCTACACGTTTTTATTCGTTAAGAGGGCCAATTTAGCACGATAATCACATTTCAATGTAAAAAATGGCAGATTTTCAGAGGTGAATTTGAAGTGCTTAATTCACTAATTGGATATTAAAATGTTGCTAGATGTCATCGTGTGTGTATACATTCTTGAGTTTCGTGATTCTGCTTGCCAAAGTGGGGCTAAATTCCACACAATAATCACATTTCTGTGTAGTGTGTTACTAGGCAGTAAATTTGTCAGTACTTCGTGTGTTTGTTTTTGTTTACCGTGTTTTAGGTTTTGAACTGCTGCTATGTATCATGAATTTGACTAAACACTTTAAATAGTAATCTGAATTGAAAACTGTAACACCAGGCAAAAACTTAACACGAAAATCACATATTTAAAGTTACTGTGACTATCAACTTCCTGTTCAGGCCCATTTATCGTACATTTTTTCATTGCTCTTTGGTCTATATCTCTTATTGAGACCATTTTAGACTTGAAAAGTTGGTTTCAATCGATAATCGGTCAATTTTTAGCACAATAATCACACAAGATAAAGTCCTAACTTATTTTCTATTCTTGTAGTTTTCTTGTAGGCCTGGCCATCTCGAAGTGATAATAATAATTAAATGTTTCGCAGATTGGCAATTGATCGGTGTAGTTGGTGTTGTACACACTGCACTGATAACGATATCACGTTGTACGTGTAATGTAAATATAGTGTGGATAAAATGCGAATATATATTCTAAATAACTGATAAAATGATATTCCACACAAAGCATGAAATTGTGCTGTATATGAGTGGTGATTTCGCTCTGAGAATCAGGGTCAGTAGCTCAATTGGTAGAGCAAGAGACGCGAAATCTCGAGGTTCTGGGATCATTCCCCAGTTGTCCCTAGTTTTTCAGAGTTAATCATCACATATAGACAGCATGAGAGTAGGCCTGGCCATCTCGAAGTGATAATAATAATTAAATGTTTCGCAGATTGGCAATTGATCGGTGTAGTTGGTGTTGTACACACTGCACTGATAACGATATCACGTTGTACGTGTAATGTAAATATAGTGTGGATAAAATGCGAATATATATTCTAAATAACTGATCAAGTGTGATATTTGAAGCGGAAATCGGTTTTGAAGCTATCAAAATCGTTTATAATTGATTAATGAACAATAGTGTCAGGCATGATGACAAAAAAGGCCGACTTTGAACACAAAAATCACGTATAAAAGGCGATTGTGACTATCTAATTGCAGTTTCAGCCCATTAACGATTATGTATGCGTTTTCTATGCTATCAAATCTTTTTCTTGAGACAATTTTAGACCTGAAAAGTTCATTGAAATCGATATTCGGTCAATTATTGGCACAATAATCACACGAAAAAATCTCGACCTATTTGCTGAACCACAGAGTTAATTTTATTCTGCGTTCTATATCATCAACTTTTATTGTCTCTAGTTAATGAAGGAGTTTCGGCATGTGTGCTGTGTGATATTTGAGTCAACAGTGGCACCAACTTACCAGTTTTTAACGTTTTTTAACAGCAATTTCAGATCGATTTTATAGTTCTATGATACAACACAGTTGGTCTTTCTCTATCATACATATTGCAATTTATTGGATTTAATTTAACCAATTGATGTGATTTTATTGTCTGAAACAAGCCCTATATCACTTGAACATAAGATAGGAGAATCAAACAAGCTAAGATTCATCATTTATATTCTATTTCAGAAGATAATTAAGTGACGATGGCAAATTTGAGAAATAAACTCAATCTCTCGCATTTCAAACTTTCAAACGTGATAAATGTGTTTTATATGTAGCCTTACATGCTCAGAACAGTCTAAGATAATTTCAAATGTAGCAAAACAAAATAGTAACAGTCTAAATGTCTAATTATGAGTCTAGAAAATGATTAAAACTTTGTTTTAAAATTAGATGTGATTTTTGTGTCGATTGTGACCGTTTAACAGAAAATAATTGATTAATTTCTTGCTTGCGCCATATTTTGAGCTGTAAAAAATTGTTTCTGAACTTTGATATTGGCTATCTATCGTTAAAAACGTTAATTTCCACAAATTTGGCCATATTGTGATTTTTTTGCTCTATCTCAGCCATTTATATGTGACTCTCTGACCCTTTATCGCTTAACTTACCTAAAAGTGTGTATTAAACACCTTCAAGTACGTTGCACAACAATCTGGTTTTAAATGAATGGGTGAGTGGCTTCCAAAGTCACAAAAGTGAGTTTTGTGTCATAACTTGCCCAAATATCAATATTTGTTAATTATTCTGCCAACATAGCCTTCATTATGTAAAAACAAGCATATTCTGAAAGTTTGGTTGAAGTTGGTCAATATTAAGGTTCATTTTTGACAAAAAACAAATTTTGGCTAAAAAAATTGAGAGCTGAATTGCACCTTTTTTATGAACGTGTCCTTAAAAGTTTTTCTTAATTATCCAATATTCAAGTAACGATTTCCCACCCCTCTAAGGTGCCACTGGCTGCCGCGCACCCTGCATAGCGGGGGCTGCAGCCAGCATGGGCAGTCGTTTTGCCACTGGTTATAATATAAGTTATATTCCTTTATTTGCTACAACAGAAATCAGGATTATGATCCCAAAATGCCAGCTTAAAACATTAACCTAACTGTGCAGTGTACAATGTTATACAAATAAACTAATAACTAATTTTACAGTCACCATGCCACTCTATGAACTGGGACTGGGATCGGAGAAGATTCATGTAGTTATTGATATTGGTAGCTACCACACCAAGTAAGTTGCTATTTTGCTTTTATTTACTATTAATTATTATTTACATCATACTGAACTACATCATACTGAACTGTTCAAGGGACGAAATGTTTATAAGTGTGTGTGTTGAAATTGTAGAAAGCGAGGGGCTACATCTTAAGCGAAAGATTAATCTTTCGAAAAGATAAGGGTTTATTATAGCATCTAATTTTGCTAATTTTGCTACTACTATGATAAAGAATGAAATACCAAGTATATTGAAGTGTAGTAAAGTGTTATTGGACTTTGCTTATTTGAAAACAAACACCTTTAAATTAAATATTGTTTTACTAACAGGGGAATGAGTTTTTCTATTTGAGCTGTTTAGTTCAAAGAAAAGCAGATATATGGACTGCTTTAAAACTTTTATTTTGGAAAAAGTTTGTTTCAGTAACCATTGAGAACCAGTGGCCTTTTGTAACTGCATCTTTAACCTCAGTTTCACTTTGAAACGTCAAGTGACAGGTAAAGTCAAATATTCTGTTCTATGAACATTTATTCTAGTATTTAGGTAGGTATTTAAAATTATTAGTCTTTTGGAAATTGAAGTTTTGATCTTTACTATTTATTGTTAATAAAATGCTCATTGTAGCCAGTTATTTTAAGATTTTCATCATCATCATACTATTAAGTAAATAGATAATTAAAAGTTTTAAGTAATATAGTAATACTTTCAACACTACTATATAACAAATAATTTGAGGTATCGAATTATTACAAAACAGTTGTTTAGTTTTTTTAAGAACTGACAATTTGTCACTTGTCCCTTCGGTCCTTGATCTTTCTAGCAGGGTTTTTGACATGGAAAAGATGAAGTTGGACATGAAAAAGATGGAGGAACAATTGGAAAAGATAAACCGCAATACACTTTTGTTTAAAGGTAAGAAAGATGATAATGACAATAAGATTAAGGTAACTATTCAATCAGCGATATTTGATGACCTTACGTCTGCAAATAAAAAAATGGAGATGTTTGTTGTTATCCAGGATTTGTACACTTTCTCCAAAAATGCTCTCCAACTAACACAAAAAGTTTTAGGAACAAAACAAGCCACAACTCCTATTAAACAGGAATCACCAGATTTCAAGGAAATTATAAAGACACAGCTCAAAGAGGTACTAGCAGAAGTACTGCCCACAATACTACCAGATTTATTGAATACAGTGGTAGCAACACTACCCAAAGAAAAGAAAGAAAAAGAAGAAACTATGCTTGCAGAAAAACACACACTCACAGTTGAGAAAAAGACCACAGACTCTGAAGACGCAGAACCTATCACAATTGATGATGAAAAGGAAATGAAAGGTTCCCTTAAAATAAACCCAGTGAAGAATTTAAGAGTGTCCGGAAATACTGCGACTTTCAAGTTCAGTACCAAGGATCAACTTAACAAAGCTGAGACGGTATTTAAAAGTCAAGATAAATACAAGGTATCGACAAAGTCCGAACCAGGGAAGAAATTGGACCCCAAACTATCTATTCGAAATATTCCCTCTGACATCACAAACAAGGATACACTGCTAGAGAAACTGTTGGAAAAGAATGAAGTACTGAAGTCCTCTTCTGAAAAAGACGATGCGGTTAAAGTGGTTTTCTTCGATGATAAAGAGAAAACGGCTGTCATCCGTGTCACTGCAGCAGTACGTGAGTCAATCAGACAAAACAGAGACTATGTACACATTGACCTTAGGGAACACCCAATTCATGTCATCCAATGTTATCATTGCCAGGAATTTGGTCACATGGCTAACTCCCTGTACTGTAAAGCCAAAGATAAAGACCCAACATGTTTCTTCTGTGCAGGAAACCACAAGTCAAAAGACTGTAGAAGCAAGAGTGAAAATATTGTCACAAAGATAAAGTGCTCTAACTGCGCCAAAAGTAGTAAACACTCGGAGAAGAACTCAGCAAAGACCCATAAAGCCTCTGACAACCTATGTCCCTCGTATGTAAGAGAACGGATTGGAATCATGAATAGGACAGCAGGATGTGAGAGTTCAAAAAACTGGTACGTACAGAAGACAAAGGAGACCAAACTACGCCTAGGAAGAGTTTAAGGATTGGAACGTTCAATGTAAGATCCCTAGTGAACAAAACAGTCGGAGTCTTAGAGCATCTTCAAGAAGTTGACTGTGACATCTGTTTTGTACAAGAAACTTTCTTTCGTGATGGAAACACAGCTAAGATAATGGAGATCAAAGACCTTGGTTGGAATATACTCTCGGACCCACGAAAACATAGAGGAGGAGGAGGTATAGCTATGCTATTTCGTGATGTCCTCCAGTTAAAATGTAATAGTAAGGTCACGAAGTACAAATCCTTCCAAGTGATGGAATCACTGCTACAATCTCAACAAGATATTGTGAGACTTGTGAACTTGTATCGGCCTCCTTATACCAAGAAGGCTCGGTACACGGAGTGTGCCTTTCTAGAAGAATTTGAAGACTACCTTAAAGACCTCACAGTCAAACCTGGTTTTCCTATTATCGCTGGAGATTTCAACTTTCACATGGAAAAGACTGAAGAACACTACCCAAAGAAGCTCTACCAACTCCTGGAGGAGTATGACCTTTATCAACATGTTCCTCTTGAGCCAACCCATGACCAAGGTGGAACCCTAGATCTTGTAGTTACTAATAGATCCTTCAAGGAAAAACTGACTTCATTTGAAATCCGTCCCTCAAGAACCAAATCTGACCATTTCCTTGTCCTCTTCGATGCAGACATCAAGACAAAGACCAAAGAAGACGTTAAATTTATGAACTACAGAAACTTTAATTTAATTGATACAGAACAGTTTAAAGAAGATATTGTAATTTCAAAACTGACAAACTTCCCCAAAGATATGTCTCCGAATGATGCTGTCGTCCTTTACAACACCGTACTCACTCAGTTAATGGATAAACATTGTCCCTACATAAAAAAGAAGATTACCAAGAAGCCAATGCCCTGGTTAGATCTAGAACTTCGTATTCTCAGGCGAAAAAGAAGAACTGCGGAACGTGCCTGGAGAAAAGATAAAGTAGATTATATAGACAGTGAAAGATCTGAGTACTTGAGATCTGATTATGTTAAGCTAAGAGATGAGTTTTCCCGAGTAGAGTTTGTTAAAAGATGTGCTCACCACAAAACCTCTCTTAGGTCCTCTTCAGGGGATACTAAAGCATTGTACAAAAAAGTCAACAGACTTTTAGGAAATGACACCCAAAACCTTCCAAACTACAAGGATCCTGTTAAACTATCAGAAGATTTTAAAGATTTTTTCGCTGAAAAGGTTGCTACCATCAGACGAGCCATTGAGAAGGAAGGAAAAGATTCTGTTAAAGACAAAGACAAAGACAAAGACAAAGACATAGACAAAGACAAAGACAAAGACAAAGACAAAGACAAAGACAAAGACAAAGACAAAAACAAAGACAAAGACAAAGAAAAAGACAAAGACAAAGACAAAGATATAAACAAAGACAAAGACAAAGACAAAGATATAAACAAAGACAAAGACAAAGACAAAGACAAAGACAAAGACAACGACAACGACAACGACAAAGACAAAGACAAAGACAAAGACAAAGATCCTGTTCTTGATAAAGACTTCATCTTTGATAATTTCTCTGAGATAACAGCTGATGAACTCAAAGACCTGGTATCGAAGATGTCTAACAAGTTCTGCTGCTTGGATCCGATCCCAGCATTTCTCTTAAAAAACTGTGTCGCTGAACTGACACCTATTTTGCTCCACGTCTTGAACTCATCCTTAAAGACTGGAATCTTTCCCTCAGATATGAAGAAAGCAGTCATCAAGCCGACTTTGAAGAAGGAAAATGCTGATGTTGATATTCTCAGTAACTATCGACCAGTCTCTAACCTCTCTGCCTTCTCCAAGATCCTAGAGAGAACTGTACTTAACCAGCTCAACGTCCATCTCACGACACATAGCCTCTACTCGGACGTCCAATCTGGATACCGCCCTAACCACAGCTGTGAAACATTACTTGTAAGAATGTGTGATGATCTTAACAAAGAAATTGAAGCTGGGAATGTTGTTATTGTTGTACTTCTCGACTTAAGTGCAGCGTTTGATACCATTGACCACACAGTCTTATTGGAAAAGCTTATGAAAGACTATGGAATTACTGGAAGTGCACTGCAATGGATAAAGTCCTACCTTGAGAAGAGACACTTCTGTGTGAAGATTGAAGATACTCTTTCTACTTTCTTGGAGCTTTTGTTTGGAGTTCCCCAGGGATCACTCTTGGGGCCTATTCTTTTCATCCTCTATATCAAAGCTCTCCAAAAAATTGCTGCCAAATATGGTCTTGATATACAGCTATATGCAGATGATTCCCAACTGTACATCTCGTTTCAACCAAACCGTGTGGTACAGTTCACTGATGTCCAAGACAGGACAAACAAATGTCTTGCAGAGATCAAAACATGGATGGTGAACAATTACATGAAACTGAATGAAACAAAGACAGAACTACTGGTGTTAGGAAAGAGCCATGTTCTAAAAAAGTGTGAACTCAGTGTCAGACTACAATTCGGAAGCACTGAAATTCTACCTACGGAGTGCAAAGGAGACAGCTGGAAGAGTCTAGGTGTCAAATTTGATGAAACTTTAAACATGGAAAGACAAATAAATAATGTGAAAAGGAAATGTAGCTGGACAATGATGAACTTAAGAACTATTGGTCGTTACCTGGATGAAGGCATTAAATTGATGTTGGTGAAACAACTGGTTATATCTAAATTAGATTACTGTAATTCTCTGTACATGAATCTACCCAAGACCAGATTAAACAAACTTAGATCCACCCTTAATGGGGCAGTTCGTTTCATCTATAACATAGAAGACAGAACCACGGACTTGGTTCCCTTCTATAAGAAGGCCCACATACTCCCTATAGACCAACGAATCTTCTTTAAGGTTTGTCTTTTAACCCACAAATCAGTTCACGGTACTGCACCTGATTACCTAAAAGCATTACTAGATGTGGCTGTAGTGGATACAGAACTTTCAAACACCATGACCAGGTCGAAAAGATCTGGTGACCATCTCATGTTAAAGGTACCAAAGAATAAAAGGTCAAAAGTTGATGACAGACGTTTCTCAAGCCATGCACCGATTGCATGGAACTCTCTTCCAATGATGTTGAGATGTATTACTGATACCAACTGCTTCAAGCGAATGTTAAAGAACCATTTATATAATCAGTTTTGATGTTTTTTCTTCCCATTTGTCTTCACTTTGCAAGACACATTGGCTTTTATTTTTTACTGCACTCCATTTTTATGTCTTGATCTCTACCTTTCTAGGATCTGTCTCTCTTTTTTGTTGATCATGTCACTGTATTATCATTTACAATACCTACACGTACTGTATGGTTTCTGCTTCTTTTTAGTTTAGTGTGGTGTTTACAATAAAAGATATTTTAATTTTGTCTTAAGCCTTTTTGAGTTATACTTTGTTCATTTTACACATTTGCTCACATTACTCACAGTCAGCCGCTCTGACATGGTTAACCTCTTCCTTGTGTTGTTGGTTAATCATATGAGCGGGATATAAATACCTCATTTCATTTCATTTCATTTCATTTCAAATCATACTGTGACTGTATACAGCATGTTATAATAAGTTATATTATAATAAGGAACCATATATTGCTCTACTGTTTCATCTAATAATGGTTCTTCAAATTATAATTGTGTCTTTTATTTGAATTTATAATTTTTACCCTTTATTTTTTTAAGGAAAGATGGTTGACATTGAAAGCTTGAATTTCTTACGCCATTTAACCGTTGAATATTTCTAAAATTAAGTTCAGTGATTGTTATATTTATCTATCAGGATAGGGTTTGCGGGAGAAGCAAGTCCTCGACACATCATACCAAGTTACAATGTCAAGAGTAACAACGAGGTGACTATTTAGTAGAGCCCACTCCAAGTTGGATTGTCATCCCCCCCCCCCTACCACAAAGATTCCCATTTAATCCCCAATCGGATATAAGGCTCCTTACAGTCACCATAAATCAGGGGTCAGTCATTTACTGACCCCTGATTTAACAAGATCGTGTTAATTTGACAGGAATCAGTTTCTAAACTGGGTGTGTGTGTGTGTGTGTGTGTGTACATTGTAAATACATGCGATTGTATACTGTACACTGTAAAGTGTGTCAGTGTTCATGTTGTGAATTATTTATACAGCTACTACTTCTCCTAGGTTAAACAAGGCTAATTTAGTAAAATGAGTATTATCAAAACAGTTTTAATTGTTCATCATGAACAATGTTCATGTGATCCAATACCTTGCTATCTATAATGTATAATGTATACATTCTATACATTTTACACATTCTTACTCATATCACACCAATGCCAAAATAATACATTCCCACTAGTACCAGTTAACAGCTTACCACATTCTTGTACAAAATACAAATTCCAGAATCTTTATAGTCAGTGATTACCACTTAAAAGTTCGGAAACATTCTACCATTACCCTAATTACTAGTTAAAACTTTACTGGTAAATGTATCATCATGTGCTATTAACTCTTTTGAATTTCTTCTTCCAAGCATGGTTACATTCTAACATTCCATACAAAATATCTTGCGTTTTTCTCTTCAGTACTAACACATGATTAACCCAGGTGGTGAATATTTGTGACCCTAAGCTTACGAAAGAAGAGCTTTCTGACGAGTTGATCACTTTTGTACATGCTATATACTTCAGGTACATGCTATATACTTCAGGTACATGCTATATACTTCAGGTACATGCTATATACTTCAGGTACATGCTATATACTTCTGGTTGGATTATTAAGGACTATTAGTCCTCGTTTGAATATTTCGCGTCCTCCATAAAGTCAGAATACACACGGTCATACAACCGACAGATAACATTTTGTCTCAGATAGAAAGAAATCGCTAACTTTTGTATAACTGTTTACGGACAGCGTGACTGAAATACAGTTCTCTGATTGGTTGGTTTGTGTCACGTGACTGAAGTACAGTTCTCTGATTGGTTGGTTTGTGTCACGTGACTGAAATACAGTTCTCTGATTGGTTGGTTTGTGTCAGGTGACTAAAATACAGTTCCCTGATTGGTTGCATCTCTTAGATATCTGCTGACGAACCCTAAAGACAGAAAAATAGTAGTTTGTGAGAACTTCTTACAAAGAGAACTCTTCAGAGAAACTCTTGCTGACGTCTTGTTTAAACAGTTCTCGGTGAGTTTGCTTAGAACCTTAAACTTCCATTTATTCAAGTTATAAAATTCACATGAAAGTGATATTTAATTACTATTTACTAATTTACTTAGATAATTGTAAAATAAAAAATACAAGATGAATGTTTCTAGATGTCATCAGAACCTATAAAATGAACAACTTATATCAATAATATATGATAGTCAATAAATACACTACATTTATTGTAATATAGTAAAAGAATAAAGTATGCTAACGAGCAGGAACATAATAATACACTCCAGCACGGTAATGCAGGGACCCACACGGCTTGACAATGATAACCTGTAAACCAGTGGCTTAACGTTGCCTCTTGCCCCCCCCCCCCCCCCCCCTGCCGAAAATGCGACCCCCGTTGGTGTCCCCTCCCCTTTTGGCGCCCCTCCCTACAATTTGACAAATTAGGTGATTTTAGAGGATACACCGGTAAAATCTCTAAAAAAGTGTGTTTCCAGAGCAAAAGGCGCAGTTTTACTAGTACCTCAGTTAAGTTTTTCAAAATTATCCCACATTCAAACAACAATTTTGAGCCCCCCCCCCCCCCCCCCCCCTAAGATGGCGCCCCCTCCCCTAAGATGGCGCCCCCCCCCCCCCCTTCCACACAGCGGGGTCAGCGGGACCCCGTTACGTCACTGCTGTAAACCCTTTATTAACTGTGTGTAACCTTACATTAAATACCAGTGTATATATTCTGCTGTTATAAAATCAAATGGTAATGACACAAACATCACACGTCGTCAAAAGTATATCTATCCAGGTGGTTGGTATAATGATGACTCCCGCACTTCCTCTTGCCCTGATACCCATTGGTACCCCAACTGGACTGATTGTCAATGTTGGTTACCATGACACTTCTGTTATTTGTGTTTATGAAGGTTTGTTCAGTTTCGACTCTATTCTCTGAAATGCTATGTTTCACGATTCACAAATGTTAAAATATAACGTTCTATGATTATGTTATAACAAATGTTATGACACGTGATTATGTTATAACAAATGTTATGACACGTGATTATGTTATAACAAATGCTGATTTGCTTTCCAGTTTATGAATCGCGGCAGCATTATTGGAGATTCATATCGTATTTCAATACCGAAGTCTTGCAATTCTACTGATTACTCACGAAAGGCTGGTGATAGCAGCAGTAGCTTTACTCGTGTAAAATACCTTGCTCCCTTTTAGTTCTGTAAAAGCTCTCACCACATTTAGTTGTTTGGTGCATTAATTTCAGTTTCCAGGTAGCAGGAGGTAATTAATTTATACAGTTTCCGGTACATGTTATTATGGAGGGCGCCAAAATTTTGACATTTTTATTGAATCATTCGCGCCGCGCGCACAATTAAGCGCGCGCGTGAGTCTCTGATCTCGACTCGATCGGCCCTGCAATGCAGTTAATTTGTAATTAAATTGGTTTCTCAAATTTGTGAATACAAAACAGGCAGTAGGCTCTACGTTAAATTTCTTATGAAGATTGCATGTTTCCCAGGCTCAGTTGGCAAAGTGGTGGACTGTCCCCACTGTCACCCTGACCCCGTTACAATGTGAATGATTTTGATTTGAAACTTTTACAAATAGTACATTATACAATACAGCAAAGAGAATTAAAAATATACGACATTATTATCATGAGGCATTTGTAGGGTAAAAGTTGTAGTCCATATTGTATAAATACTAAAAGCATGGTTAAGTGGTACAAGTTCTGGGGGTATACGTATTACAAGTAATAGTTCTACTCCCAGACTCACTAACACCACCTCCATCTAAACACACAAAATGTATCTAAAACACGCAAATTTAGAATTATCAAAATAAATACATAATGTATCCATGACCTGACCCATAATGCGCCAAAAATTGCGCGCGTATCATCACACAGCGCTTAGAAGCAAGATTACAGTCGGATATAAAGTTCGCGTAATCCAGTTAAGTATATTAACTGAGGACTGCACCAGGGTCAAATCATGGTGACAGAACGTAAATGTTATTTAATATTATTTAATAGATTTATTTTTATATTATAGTTGTTATATTCAGTATCGTGACCGATCTATCAGTGGCGGGGGCCCACATATAAATATCATTTGCACTCATTAACTTAGTCAGGGTCTGTCAATTTGTCCCAAAAGTGTTTTGCCAGGTTTGCCTTAAAAGTTCCGGCATCACTTATCTCTTTAAGGTCAGTTGGTAGGTCATTCCAGACACTGTGTGTTCTGAAGAAGAAGCTTCTCTTAAAGGAGTGAGCTTTTGCTTCCACAGTACACTTCAGGGAAAGGTGGTCGTGTCTGTTCTGTCGCCTCTGGTTGATATCAGGCATTTGAGATGTATCAACTTCATTATATCTCGAGGGTTGCCTTATGTTTGAACGCAACCTACCCTGTTCACTGGTTGTTATCGGGGTTAAATAAGGTGGGAGCTTCAGAACAGATTGACCATTGTATATCTGATGGAATAATAGTAAGTCTGTGTATTCAAACTTCAGCTCCATTGGCAACATGTCTAGCTCTCTTAATCGAGCCAAGTATTCTAAGTCATTATAGTGATGATCCTGTTCGCCAAGGATCCACTTAACTGCTCTGCGCTGAATGTTTTCAACTTTGTTATTCAAGACAACACTTGTTGGTCTCCAGACAACACTGCAATTTTCGAAAAGGCTCCTAACCAGCGCTAGATAGAATGCCCGTTTTTGTTTACGGTCGTTGATAAACCGTAGAGTTCTTTTCATTAGACCTAGACGAGAACTAGCTTTCGTACAAAGGTTGACTATGTTCTCCTCCCACTTAAGGTCTGTTCTAACAAAGACCCCAAGGTCTTTTTCACTCTGGACGAAGTCTAGTGCCGTTCCATCTAGGGTGTAGACAAAGAGCTGAAAGGGGAAAAACTCAAAATTCCTTTTTCGCTCAATTTGCTTGATATAGAGAGTACCTTACATTTATTGGGGTGAAACTTCATTTTGTTTCTTACTGCCCAGCAATGCAGGGCATCTATATCTGCTTGTAGGATCTCATGGTCCCTCCAGCCCACAATTTTACGCCATATTTTGGTGTCATCAGCGTACAGGGCAATTTTTGTACCTTCACTTACGCATTCTGACATGTCATTAATAAAGAGTACAAAAAACAGAGGTCCTAAAATGGAGCCTTGGGGAACTCCTGATTGGACATTCTTTTGTTCTGATTGGGATCCCCCAATAATAACACACTGTTTGCGGTCTTTGAGATAGTTCATAATAAACTTCAACAGTGTACCATCAATTTCAAATTCCGATTTTAATTTCTTTAGGATGACATCATGGTTAACTGAGTCAAAGGCCTTGGCAAAGTCAAAGTATACCACATCAGTTCTGATATTATCGTTAATAGACAGTGAAAGACAGTCTATATACCCGACCATTTGTGTAGTACAAGACCTCTGAGGAAGAAAACCATGCTGGTTGTCATGTATTTTATGCTGGCATTTTGCCAACAGTTCATCTCTCACTATTTTTTCAAAAATTTTCATTGTAAGGCTTGTGAGAGAGATTGGCCGATAATTTTCAACTAAAGTTTTGGGGCCTTTCTTATGCACAGGTACTACGTTAGCAAATTTCCATTCAGATGGTATCTGACCTATATTATAAGAGATTTTAAAAAGGCTCGAGAGTGGGTATGCAATACTATCTCTACAGTTCTTTAAAATTTTGCCATGGATACCATCTGGACCAGCAGCTTTATTAACATTGACATCTTTTAGAATTTTTCGGATTCTGCTGGTACTGAACTCAATGTCGTTTACTGAGTCATTACTATAATCAATATCAACATCATAATTACTCGCTTCGGAAAACTGTGCAGCAAAATATTCATTGAACATTTCAGCTTGGTCTAAGTGATTGTTTCTAAATCTGCCGTTATAGTTTACTGTTCCTGGTATGCGAGTAGATTTTGATGTCGATTTGACATGTTTCCAGAATTTCTTTGATATAAGAGCTGGATCATCATCATCATTCAGATTTGATATCATTTTTTGGTCGACCAAATTTTGAAAATCTTTTCTACATTGTGAGAACTTTTCATAGTCCTCAGCTAGGCATGATCTTTTAGATTTGACTCGTAGTTTTTCTTTTTTGAGACACAGCTGATAAGTGTCAGAGTCAAACCAGGGTGGCTGATCCTTATCTGATATCGTAATAGTTGGGATTCGGTTCTGTATGTGATGGAACAGGATTTTCTTAAAACGGAACCATCCTGTTTCTGCATCACAGTTAAGGTGATCATCCCATCTAACTGATTTCAGATCATTGTTCAGGCCGATCCAGTCTGCTTTTTTGTAATTTAAGATTTTTCGTTTGGTGACCTTCTTTCTAAACTTCATTTTAGCACTAAAAGTTATTCCAAAGTGATCTGAGGAGCATATCTCATTTTTCCCCAGGACCGCCAAATTTTCAACAACACTTATCATATTACAGAAGAGAAGATCGAGGACCTTCCCTTTATCATGAGTGGGTTGGTTTATCATTTGTGTTAAGCCTAGGTCATTAAACAGATCTATAAAACGGCCACCAAGAAGTGTGTATTACCATGTTTACCAATACTATATACATGGTATATACTATACATGGTAATGTCAACAATTTCATACAAATGCCACTGAAAAGAATCTAGTAAACTGTTATCGTAGTATTAACTGAAATACAATCGCCATCAATTGTACCAGATGTAATACAGTTCTGAGTTCTCTGATCGGTTGGTTTGTGTCACGTGACTGAAATAAAGTCTGATAGCACGTCTCATCCTCAGGAATGATAATATTACAGAGCTACCTTACAGTTGAATTGGGAACACATGCCCATCTCATGGCAATACAAAGGATGATATCAGAGTCAGGGACTGTACAAGTAGGAAATGAGAGCAAAAAAGCGTCCGAACTTTACGGTTTGTGAAAATTACGATTTATTAACCTTTTTTTAAATCTTTCTTTTTTTTTCTTCTTTTTATTAATTTCTTGTAAGGTGTCTTCGATAGTTCCCCACTCATTCACGAACTCGTGACTTATGAAGTTACACTTCCAGTGTTTGAATGTTAACCAGATTTAACTTTTCATCTGGTCAAATATACAATCATAGCAGCGAAAACTCAATTAATTAGTTAATTAATAACCTCTTGAAGGAGAGTTCGAGTTGTCCGTGCTGGAAGATATACGAGCTAGAACATGTTTCTGCGGGGAACGACCAGTGGAACTAAAGGACCCCTCCTTTGTGCAGAGCGGTGTAATTACAGAACACAGAGCTTCTGATATGAGATATCCCATGTCTGACGGGCATCATCTTGTGGTTTCAGGCAAAATCAGGTCAGTGGTTTTATTTTCTGGGGGAGAGTGAGAGAGGGTTTCACTTGTACTTCCTTTGGGAAGAGTGAAGAGGGGGTTTTACTTGTACTTCCTTTGGGAAGAGTGAGGGGGGTTTTACTTGTACTTCCTTTGGGAAGAGTGAGGGGGGTTACTTGTACTTCCTTTGGGAAGAGTGAGAGGGGGTTTTACTTGTACTTCCTTTGGGAAGAGTGAGAGGGGGTTTACTTGTACTTCCTTTGGGAATAGTGAGGGGGGGGGTTTACTTGTACTTCCTTTGGGAAGAGTGAGGGGGGTTTACTTGTACTTCCTTTGGGAAGAGTGAGGGGGGGGGGGGGTTTTACTTGTAGTTTTCTAAATAGATATTAATTAATTACTCATTAAATATAATTCGTCGTGCATTAGATAGTACCGTATGGTATTAACTGTTAAGTTAAACGTTACCACGGTAACAATAGTAACCATTAAGTAACCATGGTAAATTGTTCAGGGAGAGGTCTATAGAAGTTCTGTACGATGGTGACGGAGAGGATAACTCCATAGCAACCTTAGTTTTAGACAGTTTACTAAAGTGTCCCATTGATTGTAGAGTAGATCTTGCCAGCAGAATACTCATTATTGGTGAGTCTTAGTCAGATGTCTAGGTATTCGGTGATGTGATCCATTGATATTCACCCTACAATATTTACACAATACCCGACACTATGTATGTATATTCGCCCTACTATATAATATATTATTATATACGCATTGAAATCCAATGTCTTTGACAGTAATCAAATTGGTAATGTGTTTGTAAATACATTTTATTAACAACTTATGATTAGTTTAATTAAGTTAATTTTATTAACAACTGATTACGTAATTAGTTTAATTAAGTACCTGCATTATCAGGTGGAGGGTCGATGTTAGCTGGGTTTGATCACAGACTAAAACAAGAGATGGCCGCACTTCTAGATCATTCCCGCTTTTCTAAACTCACTCCGGGCAAACTAAAGTTCTACAAACCAAACTACTTCCGAAATACCATGTCGTGGACTGGAGGTGAGCTTGTTTTGACGTCATATCTCGTGTTGTGACGTCATATCTCGTGTTGTGAAGTCATATTTCATGTTTTGACGTCATATATCTCGTGTTGTGACGTCATATAGCTCTACATACTACTAGTTTAGAATTACACGGCACATGTATTATTACAATTATTGTTTTAAAACCCAGATGACTGACACACTTCACAACTTTTCAGGTGCCATAATGGGATCAGTGGAACATTTGCACGAAAGATATATTTCCAGAGATTTCTACAACGCAAAAGGTTAGTCGTTTAAATCATTACAGCAGTAAAGTATAATAGACATACTCGATTAATTTAGTTTTCATATAAACCTACCAAGACGCGCGCAGAGTTTGACTCGTCGACGGTCAATATTTTACGAGTATCACCCGTTAAACTCAGACCAAAGAGGACGCTAGAATTCACATAACAAAATAAAAGCGTCCTGGTCAGTAGTCATCACATAGTATCACACAGTATCTCCTGGTCAGTAGTCATCACACAGTATCTCCCAGGATCCGCCACTTTACCAAACTGGTCAAGCTTGGCTCCTCAGCTCAAAGACTCTTACCAAAGCTCCGGGACCCCCACTAGACGATCTTCTACTCCCCTCAGAGATTTCATGTCTAGTCCTTTATCTAGCTCTACTCTCCCACCTATCTCCAACTTGGCACTGTCTTGATAAAGTTGGTGTGATCTATATTCTATCTGGACTCAAACCATTGACAATAATGTGATTTGATTTATAAGATTCTGGAGATTTTTGAAGAGTTTGAAGATTCTGACCTGTTTTTAGTGGACGTTTTTGGGAATTTTGTTTTAAATTTACAATTCTGAATTCGCACGTTTAGGTTTTAGGAAAAGTCACCCCATTTTTTCTGCATTCTCGTTGACTACTTTACCAAAAGGTGGAAGTTTGACGTGTATCCAAAAATATTTGAGTTTAGAATATTATTTTGTTAATTTTGACTGTTAATTATGTAATGTTTATAACTCTATTATGATAACAATTGATTTTAGTTTAACCTATTCGAGAGACTATCAAAACAAGATATTGGTTAAATATAGAAAGTATAAATAAAAGTTGAATGACACCACTATTAGTTAAGAGTTGACTTATGGTCTGCACTATAATAATACTGATATAAAATGTATTACATTATTAATATGTAATCTGTGATGAAAACAATTGTCAACATTCGGTGGTTTATTTTAAGTAGTTTCCTCTATCACCTATATAAACTATAGCACTCTTTCCTCATAAATGACACTATTTAATCATTGAATTCTCCATGAAATAGACGAACACTGAACAGCGAACACCCACCACTTATAATAGTAGTCAATCTCTTAAATTAAGTCTCTACCAAATTAGCCTCCACTAAATTCCTCTTTAATTGTACTCCAGTTGTATCGGTGCAGACTTGGAAAACTTCCAAACTTAACTACTTCGGTGCTCCAATTGTTTAGATCTGTATAACACTACTACTTGGCTATTTGCCAGCTCAGTAACAAAGCTCAGTAACAACTATCTCTAAGTTTGTAAAGATGTGGAATATTTGATGATGATGAGGCGTCAAAACATGAGCTCATGAGGCCCTACCAGTAGATTAAGTTAAACTCCCTGATATATAAATATACAGTCAACCAGTGATAGTTAAGAACAAATTGAAATATTTACCAACCTTTTTGTTAATTTAAGTAAGCTCCGGAGACAATAGCAGAAGAGATAAAAGGATAATTAGTTATGTTATTGCCGCCCTCATGCGGAGTATGATCCACCCAGTAAGACAACGTCTTCAGCTCACTTATCATTAATCTCTCTATCGGTGTTTTGATAGTTTCGTACCACCTAGCAACTAGTGAAAAATCACAATGGCTACGGTTTTCGTCAAGTTGACTTTTTTGTTGATTGTTTTTGAGCTGACTGCTGCAAATGACTGCAATCTTTCCAAAAACAAAATGAAAAAGATGGTAAAGAAGTACAAAAAGAAATGTCTCAATCTTGGTAAGACTCCCCCAGCTATAACTACGTTTTTATAAGTAAAACTAGAGCACACTGCATGTACACATTTCAGTTGCGAGCCAGAGTAGTATAACAGGAGGGGGCATTTTGGCACGTGATTATACATATAATTATAAACATTACAAAAATCCGAAATTTTCGCAGAAAAAATGCGAACGGGGCCGGCGGGGAAGCCGTAGAAAGTGATCCCATTATGACAAATGTTGTTACTTATTTAACATTTTTAAACTACTTCTTTAATTTAGTCGTATATAGAAATTGAAATTTACTGAAATTAAAAAGTAGACATATCCAGGATAATATGTTTGTAGTGGAATGCGTTTGGGAAAATATTTGATTGAACTTTGAGTTGAACAAACTGTTCACGGACGAACTTAATATTTGGACGGTCATAAGTATGATTGTTAACTAGTAGTAGTACTAATATAATAGGGTTCGTTCACATATTACATAACCAGCCGAGGGGAAGGGGGGTTTCCAAATGCTTACGGTTGATTACGGGGCCGGGGGTTTGATAATTGATTACATAATCAAAATTTTCTTTTTACCCTCTAGAAGTAATAGTAAGTAGTTTAGAAGGTGCTTGGCTGGATATCATAACAATTATATATTAGATTATTAGGTTGTAGGTAGTTCCCTCCAAGTCCACCAGCCTATCGAACAATTTTATTTTAAATAATACACTCAATTCAACACTGTACTCAGGATTTACCTCAAACCTTGGGTGTGCTTCCTCGTCTGCATTGAAATTGAAAAAGAAAGGAAAAAAGAAATGTTCTGCTATGGAAAGAAAACTGAAAAGCTGTAACTACGAATGCAAAGGTGAGTACTAAACACTAAACTTTGCAATATCCCTTAGTGCTTAGAGTTAGATTAATGGTGATCGATCACCATTAATCTAACTCTAAGCATCATGAAAATTCATGAGAACGATGTACCTCGATTTTAAATGTCGATTTGACCCGATAATTGCGACTTAACTGCATAACTGTAGTTTCGGCTGATCCACAAAGTTCACCTAATTGTATACTGTGTAGTTGCTCTAACCAGAGCCCTCTCGCTTGCAGTAGCGCGCGACCGCCGAAGCAAATCATGCAGTACGCGCAGACACGTCTGACGTCACACATGGCTATACTAATTAACGGATATTACTCGTCTAAATTTATTCGGTGTAGTATAGCGCGCGCCGTTTCTTCTCGAAATGTGGCCCGATGGCAAGTGCTACGAAGTAGCACGCGCCGGGCCAGATCATTGACAATGGTCAAGCAGTAATTAGTATTTTAAACTAATAAAAAATCCATTACAAATTTACAATTTAATTATTTTGACGGATGTTACTTACAGTTACTCGTCTAAAGCTAAATTTCTTCGAAGTACTATTGATTGACGATGTCATGAACCCACCGAGATCGTTGCTCTGCGAAGCATTACCTGGGGACCAAGGACCTCAGGCTATCATGTTCGGTGGAATGACAGTAGGTAGTGCGCCATCGACAGTGAGCCGCGCGTGCCGACTGTAGGATGGTTTTTTAGCGCTAATTTCGGCCAGCACAATTTTCTTCAAACAAATAAATATTGAGTATCCTTCCCGACCTCCAATTGCAACAAAAATTGGTAAGCTTACTCATAGACTTACAAGGAAAGTGTCCGAAAAATTTAAAGCATATCCAACCAACAGACATTATGTTACAGCTAAAAGCAGCGTATTTTGCCCCATTTTGATCACTATATCAACTTTGATATCCACCAAATTTTTCGGACAGTTGTAAAAGCCCTATTGGAAGGTCGTCGCCAATTTTCAGAATGATCTCATTTAAGGAACTGAAGATAAATCCCAATAATACGACAAAAATGGTCAAATTTGGACGAATTTGGTCAAATTACGTGACTTTTACAGCTACTTTTGCTCCAAAAGCCGCGCACCATCAAATATGGCACTTAGGCGAAATTCACTGATCTTTCCAAAAAGGTATGACAAATTTGGTATTGTGAAAATTCTCACAGTCTCTAGAAAACACTGGTACAAAAATTTTTTAAATCCGAGCAAGTTTATTTTTATCGTGCACCTCCTAATGACAGGCTGAGCGCGGCCCAGTAATGCTTGAAGCAGAGCAACAATCGACGATCGTTATAAGAATGATCGTTTCAAGAATGAGGGAAGCAAGAATGCTAGTTCGCACGGTAAAGTCCTCGATCCACGAAGTACTAGACTACTACTAGTTACTACTAACCTTGTAGCGCGATGCGTTACTGGCTAGATCGGCGAGATGCGCTACTGTGCCGCGCCGAGCTGCCATGAATTGACATCGTCAATTAACCCCTAACCGTAGGACACTTTAATTAAAATTACAGGGATTCTTCGGCGGCGCGCGAAAAGTGGCATGCAACGTATGTCAAGGATTTGTAGCGCGATGCGTTACTGTGCCGCGCCGCGCACTCAATAAGGCTTCTCACAGCGAGATCGGCGAGATGCGCTACTGTGCCGCGCCGAGCTGCCATGAATTGACATCGTCAATTAAGTCAAGGATTAGTTAGACTTAGGGATATTAATTATTATTATTGTATGGAGCTATTTAGACGCAATTAATAACCCTAGGCCTAAAAGTAAAATGTAAAAATAAAATAATCCAGCGGTATAAATTCTTTTAGAATCTTACGATCACGAGAACTTGAAATTATAAAGTTTAACACGACCATTGTAAAATGTAATTGTTATACTTATATAATGGACTAGCCCGGCGTGCCGCCAACGTGCGCTACTTTAAGCACTACATCGTAGCACTGTACTTGCCTCATGTCTCGGGCCATAAAATTTCGAGAACTAGAAAGCAGCGCGTGCTACTTAGTAAAGGCTCTTACGGGCAAAAAGGCGTGTTTTCTGCTACGAGTTTAGAGACCTAACCGCTAATTGGACACAATAGTATGATGTCTAAGGATCGATAATCGCTCCTACTAAATCGCTCGCCCAAATTTTAAGAAAATTCTTGTGAAAAGGCCCTTTGGGCATGAAAGTGATCGGAATCGGTGTATTTTTGTAGGTTCACAACCTACCAGGACGCGCGCCGAGTTGGACTCGTCGACGGTCCAATATATGGAACAGATATTTTACGAGTATCACCCGTTAAGTGTATTTTTGGACGCTGATTCCGAATCACCCCCCATGACGTAGGGTTAAAATGCTTCCCTGGAGAGTTATGGGCAAAAAACCGATTTGGTCACGTGACAGGCTAGTAAAATACTAATTCGATTGTTTAGGGCTCGGGTTAGGGTTAGGGTTGTGGTAAGGGTTATGGTTAGCTTCGGGGTTATGGTTAGGGTTAGGGTTGGGATATCCGGATAAGGGTTTATGTAAAACCGTTTTGTACGGCTGCAAAACCATAAAAACCAAAGTCACGTGAAATTTTTGGGCGAGCGAATTAGTAAAAGCCATCGATAATATGTTAAGAAGTATAGATTTGGCCTTATTAGTCACGTGCTATACCAATGCGCGTTTTAAACTTTGACAGTCTATTACTCTAAGGCAAATAGAGTAATTATATTCATATTTTGTCAGCAATAAGATCCCATCATTTTCTATTTAGTAGAGGCTCTTACGGGCATTGTCTGCTCGATACGCTAGGGACCCCAGATACACCTTACTAGACGCATTTTTGACCGTCGAATCGATTAAAAGTAGTTTCAAGATGATTGGACTGATTTTTCTCGGTTAAAATCGCAAAAAAAACCGATTTTTGGGCCAAAAATAGGCCAAAAAACCATGTTTTTTGATATTTTGAGCAAGTTAATTTTGTTGGCATGTCGGCAAAACTTGCATGGAGATAGCTAAAAGACAGCCGCACAAGATGGTATAAAAATAAAACAAATTCCTCTATTTTTTCTGGGGTAAAAATCCAAAAAAGTGGTAAAAATTTTGACTTTTTTGCTTGACGTTTGAATAATTTTTTGCAGTTGTATTAAATCAACTCAAAAATAGTCACATCGTGTTTGCCTAAATTTTTCCTTTCTGGGAAGTACCCACTTCATATACTTTATCGAAGTTTGAATATTGTCACTCCGCAAGCGTTTTTGCCAAATTTTCGACGCGCACTACGCACAAAAGCATTTAGTTGTTATCAATTGGCACCCGCGCGTTCATCATAAATTTCTAACAGCTATAACTCAGCGAGATTATGTCCGTTCTAGCTCATATTTTCACACCAAATTATAGGGGTCGTTCACATATTTATATTAACGATTACGCGACGCGACGTAATCAGCCGAGGGAGGGGGGTTTCCAAATGATGACGCTTATAGTGTAATTTTGACACAATAGCTTTGTGTAAAAATTATAACGGAGGGGGGGGGGGGGGGGGGGTAAAACTAAAAATGTTCCAAAAAATGATTACGTAATATTATGTGAACGACCCTTTATGGGAAATTGTAAATTTTGTACAGCATGAATATTTATATGATGCATAAGATTAAACAGGAAATAAATTAAACAGGAATTAAACATGAAAGTAAGTAAACCCCGATTTGCTGCACTTCTATTTGGGCTTTAAACCGCAACTCAAACCCCAAATTACTATACCGCACGGTCATACTCATTTACTTTCTCCAAATACGCGGCTCAAGTCAGTCAACATACATATACTCAACAGTCAACATACATGTACAAATACAATTACGTGAAGACATTATGATTATGTGAACTGTGAAAAACAGATCGCCAATTTACCGCAAACCCCGAATCCAGAATCACAAATAGTCCTGTTCTTTGCCCCATACTCCACGGTTAATTGGAGTTTTACAATTACTATATAATAAGTATAACAATGTTCATCTGATCAGTTTTTAAGTTACGTGAAATATAACAGAAATTCATATAACATTAACAACTCTTCCTTTCTAAAATCAAGGATTGAAAGTAGACGGAGGCTGGGGAGATTATGGAGATTGGTCGACATGTTCAGTGGAATGTGGAGGAGGAACACAAACAAGAACTAGGAACTGCGACAGTCCCCTTCCAGCCAATGGGGGAGTGGAATGTGAGGGAGATACTGAAGAAACACAAAGTTGTAACGAGCAAGCTTGTGCAGGTTAAACCTTTTACAGTTTAAATTAATTTGTAATTGTAGTTTTTACAGTTAATTATGTTAACTATTTAGCACTAAAGAAACAGGCCATGTGAGCTCCTGCTCGAATTATCAGACACTGCCAACATAAGAACAGTTTTGCTCTTACATAAAATCGTTGAAAAAGTCCACGATTCATATTATGATATAATTTTTATCGATAATCCCTTAGATTAAAACTATTTCATCTAGGGTCCGGTACAGCTGAAGCATGCGAACATAGCGGAATACCTATATCAATCAACTGTGGCGAGGAGATGATAAATATCAAGCATGCGGCCTATGGTGTATACTCCAATGACAACACTTGTGGACTCTCTTATGGTGGAGACTGTATCTCAGAAACTTCACTTCAGGTCTGAGCTAGTTTACAATAGATATATTGTTCCATCTTACTTATTGTGTACTATTATACGTTTATGTTCATTGTAATGGTGTTGGAAAAACTGTGTCAATAATAATCTTTAACCACAAAATTGCTATTCATCAAGTTGAGTCAACATTGTTGACACTGACAGTAGATCTCAAACAATTTCCCCTCTTCAGGCGATGAAGGAACGATGTGATGGAAAGAATTCCTGTGCAGTAGAAGCACTAAACAGTATATTTGGAGATCCTTGTGGTGGAATTTACAAATACTTAACTGCTACCTGGGAGTGCCATTCAGGTTAAATTTTATGTTATTTATTTAATGTTAAGTGATGATTAATTTAACTGCCATATTAAACTATTTGCAATATCATCCTGGTAGCCATGAAAATAAAGAATATACAGCCATTTCGTCGAAATGTTTTCACATATTATTATGAGCTTAATGAGACACGGTCAGAAAACTAAGTCTGATTTTAATTCACTAATCCTTTCTTAAATCCAGGATTGAAAGTAGACGGTGGTTGGGGAGATTATGGAGATTGGTCGACATGTTCAGTGGAATGTGGAGGAGGAACACAAACAAGAACTAGGAACTGCGATAGTCCCCTTCCAGCAAATGGGGGAGCGGAATGTGAGGGAGACATTGAAGAAATACAGAGTTGTAACGAGCAAGCTTGTGCAGGTTAAACCTTTTACAGTTAATTGTAGTTTTTACAGTTAATTACGTTAACTTTTTAGCACTAAAGAAACAGGCCATGAGAGTTCTGGCTCAAATTATCAGACACTGTCAACATAAAAACAGTTTTGCTCTTATATAAAATCGTTGAAAAAGTCCACGATTCATTTTATGATATAATTTTTATCGATAATCCCTTAGATTAAAACTATTTCATTTAGGGTCCGGTACAGCTGAAGCATGCGAACATAGCGGAATACCTATATCAATCGACTGTGGCGAGGAGATGATAAATATCAAGCATGCGGCCTATGGTGTTTACTCCAATGAGAATACTTGTGGACGTTCTTATGGTGGAGACTGTATCTCAGAAACTTCACTTCAGGTCTCAACTTGTTAACAATAGATATATTATGTTCAAACTTATTTAATAGTACTATGTTTACAGTATGCACTGAAGGGATATCCTAGGAAGTTTCTTGAACTTTTAACAGGTACCCCTCCTCATTTAATCCTCAATTAAGTTTCCTATCATTCGGCTGAGTCGACCGAGGAGATTGCATAGATCCAATGGATCCTTAGCTACTCCCTAGACTAAGTGACACTGGGATTCGAACCCTGAACCTTCTGCGCAGAAGGCGGATGCTCTAACCACTAGGCCACCTAGCGATTTATTGTATTTATTGTATTACGTTTATGTTCATTGTAATGGTGTTGGAAAAACTATGTAAATTATAATCCTTGACCACAAAATTGCTATTCATCAAGTTTAGTCAACATTGTTGACATTGACAGTAGATCTCAAACAATTTCCCCTCTTCAGGCGATGAAGGAGCGATGTGATGGAAAGAATTCCTGTGCAGTAGAAGCACTAAACAGTATATTTGGAGATCCTTGTGGTGGAATTTACAAATACTTAACTGCTACCTGGGAGTGCCATTCAGGTTAAATTTTATATTATTTATAAAATGTTAAGTGACGATTAATTTAACTGCCATATTACACTATTCGCAATATCATCTTGGTAACTGAAAATAAAGAATACAGCCATGTCGTCGAAATATTTTCACAAATTATTATAAATTAGGAGCTTAATGAGACACGGTCAGAAAACTAAGTCTGATTTTAATTCACTAATCCTTTCTTAAATCCAGGATTGAAAGTAGACGGTGGTTGGGGAGATTATGGAGATTGGTCGACATGTTCAGTGGAATGTGGAGGAGGAACACAAACAAGAACTAGGAACTGCGATAGTCCCCTTCCAGCAAATGGGGGAGCGGAATGTGAGGGAGACATTGAAGAAATACAGAGTTGTAACGAGCAAGCTTGTGCAGGTTAAACCTTTTACAGTTTAATTAATTGTAGTTTCTACAGTTAATTATGTTAACTATTTAGCACTGAAGAAACAGGCCATGTGAGCTCCTGATAGAATTATCAGACACTGCCATCATAAGAACAGTTTTGCTCTTATGAATCGTTCAAAATGTCCACGATTTATTTTATATGATATAATTTTTATCAATAATCCCTTAGATTGAAACTATTTCATCTAGGGTCCGGTACAGCTGAAGCATGCGAACATAGCGGAATACCTATATCAATCAACTGTGGCGAGGAGATGATAAATATCAAGCATGCGGCCTATGGTGTTTACTCCAATGAGAACACTTGTGGACGTTCTTATGGTGGAGACTGCATCTCAGAAACTTCACTTCAGGTCTGAACTTGTTAACAGTATAGATATATGTTCGAAATTATTTATTGTATTACGTGTATGTTCATTGTAATGGTGTTGGAAAAACTGAGTCAATAATAATCTTTAACCGCAAAATTGCATTTCATCATGTTGAGTCAACATTGTTGACACTGACAGTAGATCTTAAACAATTTCCCCTCTTCAGGCGATGAAGGAACGATGTGATGGAAAGAATTCCTGTGCAGTAGAAGCACTAAACAGTATATTTGGAGATCCTTGTGGTGGAATTTACAAATACTTAACTGCTACCTGGGAGTGCCATTCAGGTTAAATTTTATTAAATTTATTTATAAAATGTTAAGTGACGATTAATTTAACTGCCATATTAAACTATTTGCAATATCATCCTGGTACCTGAAAATAAAGAATACAGCCATGTCGTCGAAATGTTTTCACATATTATTATGAGCTTAATGAGACACGGTCAGAAAACTAGGTTTGATTTTAATTCACTAATCCTTTCTAAAATCCAGGATTGAAAGTAGACGGTGGCTGGGGAGATTATGGAGATTGGTCGACATGCTCAGTGGAATGTGGAGGAGGAACACAAACAAGAACTAGGAACTGCGATAGTCCCCTTCCAGCAAATGGGGGAGCGGAATGTGAGGGAGACATTGAAGAAATACAGAGTTGTAACGAGCAAGCTTGTGCAGGTTAAACCTTTTACAGTTTAATTAATTGTAGTTTCTACAGTTAATTATGTTAACTATTTAGCACTAAAGAAACAGGCCATGTGAGCTCCTGCTCGAATTATCAGACACTGCCACCATAAAAACAGTTTTGCTCTAATAAATCGTTCAAAATGTCCACGATTCATTTTATGATATAATTTTTATCGACAGTCCCTTAGATTAAAACTATTTCATCTAGGGTCCGGTACCCGTACAGCTGAAGCATGCGAACATAGCGGAATACCTATATCAATCAACTGTGGCGATGAGATGATAAATATCAAGCATGCAGCCTATGGTGTTTACTCCAATGAGAACACTTGTGGACTTTCTTATGGTGGAGACTGCATCTCAGAAACTTCACTTCAGGTCTGAACTAGTTTACAATACCTTAGTGCAAGAAATATAGGCGGCAAGAATATAAGGCGCTAGAAATTAAGGCGGCAAGAAATTAAGGCGATATTTTTTTCGGAAAAAATACGATTTTTGATCGCAAATTTGGTTATAGTTTTGGTCGAAATAGTGTCAATTTTATTCTTTTATCAGTCTATAAAGCATAGAAATCTGTTTAAAAATACGATATATTGGACATTGGTCACATAAAAACTAAATGGTGCATGCACATTATATTTATAGTGATTGCTGTTCTGTCGTCTAAGTTTATAATTTTAAATTAGGTAGACATCCACTACATCAGCAAACTGCAAGTCAATTGGTATATTCATTGCATTTGACAAAATGATAGTGCACATTCTGTACGCGGCAAGGAATTTTTATGTATGTATACTACATATCATCATTAAAATTAAAAATTATTTCTTTTTAAAATTAAAACTCGATTTAAAGCTTAAAAATGAAATGTAAAATTGTACGAACATTCGAATTTGAACTGACATTAATAACACATGTACTGCAGTTTAAATCTCAATAGAATATAGTCCGAGAAGCCGAGATAAAAAACATGAAGTTAGATCCTGAGCGCTGCAAATGGATCAATCAGCATTCTTGAGTCAATACCGTCCTCCTTGCACCTCCTCACCGCTTCAGTGAGACCAGACGCACGCCATCCAGAAGCGATCAACTTCTTTCCTTCCACAGTTTTGAAGAACTCGTAGGAAGCTGTCAAAGTTTTGGCATGGAGAGGTTTCAGCACTGACAAGCGGATATCCAACTTGAAATCTCCTACTTCAGGATTATGCTGGATGTGATCTGCTAGACTACGACTTACGTAGGATGCACATGCCTCCCGCTCAAAATCTTTTAGCTTTTTATTCACTGTGAGATCTAGTGGTGACAAGAGATGAGTCAAATTTTTCGGTATGTCGACGGTACAGATTCCAAGCATTGAAAGCAGACTCAAAACTCGTGGTGCATTATGAGCACTAAAATCGTCCCAAATAACTACCACTTTCTGACTGTCAGGTTTTCCGAGGGATTTCTTCTTCTGATCAACGTAAGGCTTGATAACATTATTTAGGATATTCAAAGTTTCTTCAGTGTTCGACCAGTGCGTTTTGTTGTAAGAGAGAAGGAAACCTGCGGGAAGTAGATCTGCAGAAGGTAAGCACCTTTTAGTTGTTCCTTTGTAAATTAGTTGGTAGGGTAAGATGTCTCCTGACAGTGTGACCGCGAGAGTAGCTGTGATTGTTCTCTTGTCGCCACAGTGAGCCACAGCAGTACGGCTTTCTCCCCTCTTACTCATGGTGGAGTTGCTCAGGTTAAAAAACTTTGTTGGAGTTTGGTCCAGGGTGATAATCAGCTCCTCGGGAATGTCGTACTCGTCAACAACCTTCTGAAGAGCGAAATGATACCGTAACTTGGTTTCTTCATATGCTCCGCTGCTAACAGGTGGCCTAGACGTCGTAGCTTTTCTCTGAGAGAACTTCATCCGGGTGTACAATGATGTCAGCCAGGAGTGTGTTACCTCGAACTTCAAGAAAGTGCCGTACTTTGTTAGGTTAGCGTTCACCAATCCCATGAGACATCCACGTATTGTTGTCGAATTGACCACACCTCCAGCCTCTCTCATGGTTACCAAGAGTCTTCTCAAATCAGCATCCAATTCAGCCGGCAACGATGTAGGCCTCCCGCGTTTCCCCACAAGCAATGCTTCAGGAGCTAATTTATTTTAAATATGTATTTCATTGAATTCTAGCAAATAACGAAATCGACATGTAAATTTAAAATAATAAAATCACACGAAAATTTCTTATGAAAAAATCGCAAGAAAAAAAATTAAGGCGGTTAGAAATTACGGTGGTCAGATATTAAGGCGGCAAGAAATTAAGGCGATTTTGTCAGAATCGCCTTAATTTCTTGCCGCCTATATTTCTTGCACTAAGGTAGATATATGTTCAAACTTATTTATTGTGTTACGTGTATGTTCATTGTAATGGTGTTGGAAAAACTGAGTTAATAATAATCCTTGACCACAAAATTGCTATTCATCATGCTGAGTCAACATTGTTGACACTGACAGCTGTAGATCGCAAACAATTTCCTCTCTTCAGGCGATGAAGGAACGATGTGATGGAAAGAATTCCTGTGCAGTAGAAGCACTAAACAGTATATTTGGAGATCCTTGTGGTGGAATTTACAAATACTTAACTGCTACCTGGGAGTGCCATTCAGGTTTAATTTTATATTATTTATAAAATGTTAAGTGACGATTGATTTAACTGCCATATTAAACTATTCGCAATATCATCTTGGTAACTGAAAATAAAGAATACGGCCATGTCGTCGAAATGTTTTGACGTATTTTATTAGATTTAATGAGACACGGTCAGAAAACTAAATCTGATTTTAATTCACTAATCCTTTCTAAAATCCAGGATTGAAAGTAGACGGTGGCTGGGGAGATTATGGAGATTGGTCGACATGTTCAGTGGAATGTGGAGGAGGAACACAAACAAGAACTAGGAACTGCGACACTCCCCTTCCAGCCAATGGGGGAGTGGAATGTGAGGGAGATACTGAAGAAACACAGAGTTGTAACGAGCAAGCTTGTGCAGGTTAAACCTTTTACAGTTTAAATTAATTGTAGTTTTTACAGTTAATTATGTTAACTATTTAGCACTAACGAAACAGGCAATGTGAGCTCCTGCTCGAATTATCAGACACTGCCAACATAAGAACAGTTTTGCTCTTACATAAAATCGTTCAAAATGTCCACAATTTATTTTATATGATATAATTTTTATCAATAATCCCTTAGATTGAAACTATTTCATCTAGGGTCCGGTACAGCTGAAGCATGCGAACATAGCGGAATACCTATATCAATCAACTGTGGCGAGGAGATGATAAATATCAAGCATGCGGCCTATGGTGTATACTCCAATGACAACACTTGTGGACTTTCTTATGGTGGAGACTGTATCTCAGAAACTTCACTTCAAGTCTGATCTAGTTTACAATAGATATATTGTTCCATCTTACTTATTGTGTACTATTATACGTTTATGTTCATTGTAATGGTGTTGGAAAAACTGTGTCAATAATAATCTTTGACCACAAAATTGGTATTCATCATGTTGAGTCAACATTGTTGACACTGACAGTAGATCTCAAACAATTTCCTCTCTTCAGGCGATGAAGGAACGATGTGACGGAAAGAATTCCTGTGCAGTAGAAGCACTAAACAGTATATTTGGAGATCCTTGTGGTGGAATTTACAAATACTTAACTGCTACCTGGGAGTGCCATTCAGGTTTAATTTTAAATAATTTATAAAATGTTAAGTGACGATTAATTTAACTGCCATATTAAACTATTCGCAATATCATCCGGGTAACTGAAAATAAAGAATACAGCCATGTCGTCGAAATATTTTCACAAATTATTATAAATTATGAGCTTAATGAGACACGGTCAGAAAACTAAGTCTGATTTTAATTCACTAATTAGAAAGGATTAATCCTTTCTAAAATCCAGGATTGAAAGTAGACGGAGGCTGGGGAGATTATGGAGATTGGTCGACATGCTCAGTGGAATGTGGAGGAGGAACACAAACAAGAACTAGGAACTGCGACAGTCCCCTTCCAGCCAATGGGGGAGCGGAATGTGAGGGAGATACTGAAGAAACACAGAGTTGTAACGAGCAAGCTTGTGCAGGTTAAACTTTTTACAGTTTAAATTAATTGTAGTTTTTACAGTTAATTATGTTAACTATTTAGCACTAAAGAAACAGGCCATGTGAGCTCCTGCTCGAAATATCAGACACTGCCACCATAAAAACAGTTTTGCTCTTATAAATCGTTCAAAATGTCCACGATTCATTTTATGATATAATTTTTATCGACAATCCCTTAGATTAAAACTATTTCATCTAGGGTCCGGTACAGCTGAAGCATGCGAACATAGCGGAATACCTATATCAATCAACTGTGGCGAGGAGATGATAAATATCAAGCATGCGGCCTATGGTGTTTACTCCAATGAGAACACTTGTGGACTTTCTTATGGTGGAAACTGCATCTCAGAAACTTCACTTCAGGTCTGAACTTGTTTACAATAGATATATGTTCAAACTTATTTATTGTGTTACGTGTATGTTCATTGTAATGGTGTTGGAAAAACTATGTAAATTATAATCCTTGACCACAAAATTGCTATTCATCATGTTGAGTCAACATTGTTGGCACTGACAGTAGATCTCAAACAATTTCCTCTCTTCAGGCGATGAAAGAACGATGTGACGGAAAGAATTCCTGTGCAGTAGAAGCACTAAACAGTATATTTGGAGATCCTTGTGGTGGAATTTACAAATACTTAACTGCTACCTGGGAGTGCCATTCAGGTTAAATTGTAAATTATTTATGAAATGTTAAATGACGATTAATTTAACTGCCATATTAAACTATTTGCAATATCATCCTGGTAACTGAAAATAAAGAATACAGCCATATTTCGTCGAAATGTTTTCACATATTATTATGAGCTTATTAATGAGACACGGTCAGAAAACTAAGTCTGATTTTAATTCACTAATCCTTTCTAAAATCCAGGATTGAAAGTAGACGGTGGCTGGGGAGATTATGGAGATTGGTCGACATGTTCAGTGGAATGTGGAGGAGGAACACAAACAAGAACTAGGAACTGCAACAGTCCCCTCCCAGCCAATGGGGGAGCGGAATGTGAGGGAGATACTGAAGAAAGACAGAGTTGTAACGAGCAAGCTTGTGCAGGTTAAACCTTTTACAGTTAAATGTAGTTTTTACAGTTAATTATGTTAACGTTTTAGCACTAAAGAAACAAACCATGAGAGTTCCTGCTCAAATTATCAGACACTGTCAACATAAGAACAGCTTTGCTCTTATAAATCGTTGAAAATGTCCAAGATTTATTTTATATGATATAATTTTTATCGATAATCCCTCAGATTAAAACTATTTCATTTAGGGTCCGGTACAGCTGAAGCATGCGAACATAGCGGAATACCTATATCAATCAACTGTGGCGAGGAGATGATAAATATCAAGCATGCGGCCTATGGTGTTTACTCCAATGAGAACACTTGTGGACTTTCTTATGGTGGAGACTGTATCTCAGAAACTTCACTTCAGGTCTGAACTTGTAACAATAGATATATGTTCAAAATTATTTATTGTATTACGTGTATGTTCATTGTATTTGTAATGGTGTTGGAAAAACTGAGTTAATAATAATCTTTAACCACAAAATTGCTATTCATCAAGTTGAGTCAACATTGTTGACACTGACAGTAAGTCTCAAACAATTTCCTCTCTCCAGGCGATGAAGGAACGATGTGATGGAAAGAATTCCTGTGCAGTAGAAGCACTAAACAGTATATTTGGAGATCCTTGTGGTGGAATTTACAAATACTTAACTGCTACCTGGGAGTGCCATTCAGGTTAAATTTTATATTTTATAAAATGTTAACTGCAGATGATTAATTTAACTGCCATATTAAGCTTAATGAGACACGGTCAGAAAACTAAGTCTGATTTTAATTCACTAATCCTTTCTAAAATCCAGGATTGAAAGTAGACGGTGGTTGGGGAGATCATGGAGATTGGTCGACATGTTCAGTGGAATGTGGAGGAGGAACACAAACAAGAACTAGGAACTGCGACAGTCCCCTTCCAGCTAATGGGGGAGCGGAATGTGAGGGAGATACTGAAGAAATACAGAGTTGTAACGAGCAAGCTTGTGCAGGTTAAACCTTTTACAGTTTAATTAATTGTAGTTTTTACAGTTAATTATGTTAACTATTTAGCACTAAAGAAACAGGCCATGTGAGCTCCTGCTCAAATTATCAGACACTGCCACCATAAAAACAGTTTTGCTCTAATAAATCGTTCAAAATGTCCACGATTTATTTTATATGATATAATTTTTATCAATAATCCCTTAGATTGAAACTATTTCATCTAGGGTCCGGTACAGCTGAAGCATGCGAACATAGCGGAATACCTATATCAATCAACTGTGGCGAGGAGATGATAAATATCAAGCATGCGGCCTATGGTGTTTACTCCAATGAGAACACTTGTGGACTTTCTTATGGTGGAGACTGTATCTCAGAAACTTCACTTCAGGTCTGAACTTGTAAACAATAGATATATGTTTAAACTTATTTACTGTGTTTCGTGTATGTTCATTTTAATGGTGTTGGAAAAACTATGTAAATTATAATCCTTGACCACAAAATTGCTATTCATCATGTTGAGTCAAGATTGTTAACATTGACAGTAGATCTCAAACAATTTCCTCTCTTCAGGCGATGAAGGAACGATGTGATGGAAAGAATTCCTGTGCAGTAGAAGCACTAAACAGTATATTTGGAGATCCTTGTGGTGGAATTTACAAATACTTAACTGCTACCTGGGAGTGCCATTCAGGTTAAATTTTAATAAAATTATTTATAAAATGTTAAATGACGATTAATTTAACTGCCATATTAAACTATTTGCAATATCATCCTGGTAACTGAAAATAAAGAATTCGGCCATGTCGTCGAAATGTTTTGACGTATTTTATTAGATTTAATGAGACACGGTCAGAAAACTAAGTCTGATTTTAATTCACTAATCCTTTCTAAAATCCAGGATTGAAAGTAGACGGTGGTTGGGGAGATCATGGAGATTGGTCGACATGTTCAGTCGAATGTGGAGGAGGAACACAAACAAGAACTAGGAACTGCGACAGTCCCCTTCCAGCAAATGGGGGAGCGGAATGTGAGGGAGACACTGAAGAAATACAGAGTTGTAACGAGCAAGCTTGTGCAGGTTAAACCTTTTACAGTTAATTGTAGTTTTTACAGTTAATTATGTTAACTATTGAGCACTAAAGAAACAGGCCATGTGAGCTCCTGATCGAATTATCAGACACTGCCAACATAAGAACAGTTTTGCTCTTATATAAAATCGTTCAAAATGTCCACAATTTATTTTATATGATATAATTTTTATCAATAATCCCTTAGATTGAAACTATTTCATCTAGGGTCCGGTACAGCTGAAGCATGCGAACATAGCGGAATACCTATATCAATCAACTGTGGCGAGGAGATGATAAATATCAAGCATGCGGCCTATGGTGTATACTCCAATGAGAACACTTGTGGACTTTCTTATGGTGGAGACTGTATCTCAGAAACTTCACTTCAGGTCTGAACTTGTTAACAGTATAGATATATGTTCAAACTTATTTATTGTGTTACGTGTATGTTCATTGTAATGGTGTAGGAAAAACTATGTAAATTATAATCCTTGACCACAAAATTGCTATTCATCATGTTGAGTCAACATTGTTAACACTGATAGTAGATCTCAAACAATTTCCTCTCTTCAGGCGATGAAGGAACGATGTGACGGAAAGAATTCCTGTGCAGTAGAAGCACTAAACAGTATATTTGGAGATCCTTGTGGTGGAATTTACAAATACTTAACTGCTACCTGGGAGTGCCATTCAGGTTAAATTTTATGTTATTTATTTAATGTTAAGTGACGATTAATTTAACTGCCATATTAAACTATTTGCAATTTTATCCTGGTAACTGAAAATAAAAAATACAGCCATGTCGTCGGAAAGTTTTCAAATAATATTCATCTTAATAAAACACGATCAGAAAACTCAGCTGAAGCATGTGAACATAGCGGAATACCTATATCAATCAACTGTGGCGAGGAGATGATAAATATCAAGCATGCAGCCTATGGTGTTTACTCCAATGAGAACACTTGTGGACTTTCTTATGGTGGAGACTGTATCTCAGAAACTTCACTTCAGGTCTGAACTTGTTTACAATAGATATATGTTCAAACTTATTTATTGTGTTACGTGTATGTTCATTGTAATGGTGTTGGAAAAACTGAGTTAATAATAATCATTAACCACGAAATTGCTATTCATCAAGTTGAGTCAACATTGTTGGCACTGACAGTAGATCTCAAACAATTTCCCCTCTTCAGGCGATGAAGGAACGATGTGATGGAAAGAATTCCTGTGCAGTAGAAGCACTAAACAGTATATTTGGAGATCCTTGTGGTGGAATTTACAAATACTTAACTGCTACCTGGGAGTGCCATTCAGGTTAAACTTTACTAAAATTATTTATAAATGTTAACTAATGATTAATTTAGCTGCCATAACACAATATTTGCAATATTTATGTGGGAAAGCGAGCGATTTCATTCTTGGTTTCATATGGGGGGGGGGGGGGGGGGGGGGGGGTTGTCATGTCCGTCTATGTCCGCCTATGTCCTGTCCTTTTTGGATTCTATGAGACAACGGACGTGTTTTTTGGGACATTGGCGGACACGGACGGACATTGGCGGACTCGGACGGACATTGGCGGACTCGGACGGACATTGGCGGACTCGGACGGACATTGGCGGACCCGGACGGACATTGGCGGACTTGGATGGACATTGGTGGACATTAGCGGACATTGGTGGACATTAGCGGACAAACATTTTGAGGACTGAAGAGTACTGAAGAGTACTGAGGAGGATGGCTGAGAAGGATGGCTGAGGAGGATGACTGAGGAGGATGACTGAGGAGGATGACTGAGAGGGAGGAGAAGGATCAGGAAGACCCAGGAGGAGGAGGAGGAGGAGGACCCAGAAGGATGACCTAGGAGGAGGAGGAGGAGAACTGAGGAGGATGACTCAGGAGGAGGAGGACTCAGGAGGAGGACTGAGAAGGAGGAGGACTGAGGAGGATGGCTGAGGAGGATGGCTGAGGAGGATGACTGAGAGGGAGGAGGAGGAGAAAGAGGAGGGAGAGGACTGAGGAGGAGAAGGACTGAGGAGGAGAAGGAGGACCCAGGAGGAGGAGGATCCAGGAGGAGGAGGACCCAGGAGGAGGAGGACCCAGGAGGAGGAGGACCCAGGAGGAGGACCCAGGAAAAGGCCCCAGGAGGAGGAGGAGGACTGGGGAGGAGGAGAACTGTTGAGGACTGATGAGGATGAGGAGGGGAGGAGGAAGAGGACTGGGGAGGATCAGGAAGACCCAGGAGGACCCAGGAGGAGGAGGAGGACCCAGGAGGAGGAGGAGGACTGAGGAGGACTGAGCCCAGTGGAATAAATTTTAAATATGACTAGGAATCCAGTTTGGGAAGAAAAAAAGGCTATATATTTTTCGGCCGCTTTGCGGCCGACTTGTCACTGGTCAGCTCTTCTCCCAGGTCAAGATTAGTTTGAAATGCTTAGCGTATCCATTAGAATAATTACCGGATGAATATGCAATTGCAAATTTTGAAATTAAATAAAAAATTTCTGAGAATTCTTTAATTTATTTGAAACGCAAGGAAATATTTTTTAAAAGAAGTATACAGCCTAGCTCACAGACATTTGTACTTCATTCATCATACCAACTCGGTAGATCGAATTCTAAGATTTGACTCTCATCAGCATGATGAACGATTCGCTATTCTGAAAGTGGCTTCGACCTTGTGTCGATATTTATTGCCTGACATTGGATCTGAAGCTTGCTTCTGCCAGGTTAGATGCAATATTGGACAATAAACAATGATAAACTTCGGACTTAAAGCGGGATAGGGATGTATAATGGAGGGGGTTGTCTGCACTATACTCTAGATGATCTAGGATGTGAAGCTTGCTTAAGCCTAGAACACACGAGTTCCCCTGATATAGTAGCAATGGCTAGATTCACTTCCTTCCCACTTGCACTGTTGTTGACTTGTAGCTACAATATTAAATTGATTCGTGGAAATCGGTCTCGGATGTGAAGCTTCCTTAAGCGCCAAACCCTGAGAATACTGTATTACTCGAACTTCGAGAATTTTCTAAATGAATCTAGACTAAAGGAGCCAACTTGAATCCATAAAATTTTGAATGCTACATTTTAAAATACCGCTCTATATTTACACCGTTCACCAGTTAATATGGCTGGGAGGATTGGGAGGATTCATATTAGATTGTCGATTGTTTAAGATTAACTTGATATTTTAGCGTATCAGAGCTGAAATTTTGCATGACTATTTTAAATGACTATTTTACATGACTATTTTTTCATATTCCGGGATGTTGAGGAAGGAGGAATGGATAGCGCGCGTTTTCTGCGCGTTTTTTGGTGTCTGAATGCGCAAAAAATAGTCAAGCAATCTTATAGGTAAGAAATAGTCATGGAATCTAGGAATGCGCTCGATTCGAACTTCGAGTCGATAAAATGATGTAACATCGCGTTAGCCCTGAGAGCGACCAATTTTGATTTAATTTTAAATTAATGTGAATATTTTTTCCACAAGAATCTTTTTTTACCGGTTATCAACAAATTTTGACTAGGTGTTAAATTCCTGGACGCCTGACTATTTGAGGAGGAGGAGGACTCAGGAAGAGGACTGAGGAGGACTGAGAAGGAGGAGGACTGAGGAGTACTGAGGAGGATGGCTGAGGAGGATTGCTAGGGAGGATGGCTGAGGAGGATGACTGAGGAAGATGACTGAGAGGGAGGAGGAGGAGGACTCAGGAGGAGGACTCAGAAGGAAGAGGAGGAGGACTCAGGAGGAGGACTCAGGAGGACTTAGGAGAAATGAGAAGGAGGACTGAGGAGAACTGAGGAGGAGGAGGAGGACTGAATAGGAGGAGGAGAAGGAGGGGGACTGGGAGAGGACTGGGGAGGAGGAGGACTGATGAGAAGGATGAGGAGGAGGACCCAGGAGGAGGAGGAGGACCCAGGAGGAGGAGGAGGACTGAGGAGGACTGAGGAGGAGGACTGACGATGACTGAGAAGGAGGAGGACTGAGGAGTACTGAGGAGGATGGCTGGGGAGGATGGCTGAGGAGGATGACTGAGGAGGATGACTGAGAGGGAGGAGGAGGAGGACTCAGGAGGAGGAGGACTCAGGAGGAGGACTCAGGAGGAGGACTTAGGAGAAATGAGAAGGAGGACTGAGGAGAACTGAGGAGGAGGAGGAGGAGGACTGAATAGGAGGAGGAGAAGGAGGGGGACTGGGAGAGGACTGAGAAGGAGGAGGACTGAGGAGTACTGAGGAGGATGGCTGAGGAGGATGGCTGGGGAGGATGGCTGAGGAGGATGACTGAGGAGGATGACTGAGAGGGAGGAGGAGGACTCAGGGGGAGGACTCAAAAGGAAGAGGAGGAGGACTCAGGACTTTAGGAGGAGGACTCAGGAGGAGGACTTAGGAGAAATGAGAAGGAGGACTGAGGAGAACTGAGGAGGAGGAGGAGGAGGACTGAATAGGAGGAGGAGAAGGAGGGGGACTGGGAGAGGACTGGGGAGGAGGAGGACTGATGAGAAGGATGAGGAGGACCCAGGAGGAGGAGGACTGAGGACCGAGGAGGACGAGGAGGAGGATGAAGAGGAGGAGGAGGACCCAGGAGGAGGAGGACTGAGAAGGAGGACTGAGGAGGATGACTGAGAGGGAAGAGGAGGAGGACTGAGAAGGATGGCTGAGGAGAATGACTGAGAGGGAAGAGGAGGAGGAGGAGGAGGACTGAGGAGGACTGAGAAGGAGGAGGAGGAGGAGGAGGACTGAATAGGAGGAGGAGGAGGGGGACTGGGGAGGACTGAGGAGGAGGATGGAGGACTGAGGAGAAGGATGAGGAGGAGGACTGAGGAGGACTAAGGACTGAGGAGGAAGAGGAGGAGGATGAAGAGGAGGAGGACCCAGGAGGAGGACCCAGGAGGAGGAGGAGGACTGGGGAGGAGGAGGACTGTTGAGGAGGACTGAGGACGAGGAGGAGGAGTAGGAGGAGGACTGAGGAGGGGAGGAGGAAGAGGACTGAGGAAGATCAGGAAGACCCAAGGGGAGGAGGAGGAAGAGTAGGAGGAGGAAGCATCTAAATGTTGTTTCCATTTTTGTCCGTTTTTGTCCGAGAAATGAGAAGGAGGACTGAGGAGAACTGAGGAGGAGGAGGAGGAGGACTGAATAGGAGGAGGAGAAGGAGGGGGACTGGGAGAGGACTGAGAAGGAGGAGGACTGAGGAGTACTGAGGAGGATGGCTGAGGAGGATGGCTGGGGAGGATGGCTGAGGAGGATGACTGAGGAGGATGACTGAGAGGGAGGAGGAGGACTCAGGAGGAGGACTCAGAAGGAAGAGGAGGAGGACTCAGGAGGAGGACTCAGGAGGAGGACTTAGGAGAAATGAGAAGGAGGACTGAGGAGAACTGAGGAGGAGGAGGAGGAGGACTGAATAGGAGGAGGAGAAGGAGGGGGACTGGGAGAGGACTGGGGAGGAGGAGGACTGATGAGAAGGATGAGGAGGACCCAGGGGGAGGAGGACTGAGGACCGAGGAGGAAGAGGAGGAGGATGAAGAGGAGGAGGAGGACCCAGGAGGAGGAGGACTGAGGAGGAGGACTGAGGAGGATGACTGAGAGGGAAGAGGAGGAGGAGGACTGAGAAGGACTGAGAAGGATGGCTGAGGAGAATGACTGAGAGGGAAGAGGAGGAGGAGGAGGAGGAGGAGGACTGAGAAGGAGGAGGAGGAGGAGGAGGACTGAATAGGAGGAGGAGGAGGGGGACTGGGGGAGGACTGAGGAGGATGGAGGACTGAGGAGAAGGATGAGGAGGAGGACTGAGGACTGAGGAGGAAGAGGAGGAGGATGAAGAGGAGGAGGAGGACCCAGGAGGAGGACCCAGGAGGAAGAGGAGGACTGGGGAGGAGGAGGACTGTTGAGGACTGATGAGGAGGACTGAGGACGAGGAGGAGGAGTAGGAGGAGGACTGAGGAGGGGAGGAGGAAGAGGACTGAGGAAGATCAGGAAGACCCAAGGGGAGGAGGAGGAAGAGTAGGAGGAGGAAGCATCTATTTATGTTGTTTCCATTTTTGTCCGTTTTTGTCCATTTTTGTCCGCTCTATTTTTTGTCCGTTTTGAAAATATAGGGTACCGAACGGACAAAAAACATGATCCCCCTATAACAGCAAAAATTGAACATTTTATTTAGCAATTTAGGTGTCCATTAATGTCCGCCTATGTCCGCCTATGTCCGTCTATGTCCGCCTATGTCCGCCTATGTCCGTCTATGTCCGCCTATGTCCGCCTATGTCCTGTCCTTTTTGGATTCTATGAGACAAGCGGACATAGACGGACGTGACACCCCCCCCCATATGGGAACGGCAATTTAAGCACATACCATTTATTGAGGGGGGGGGGGCTGCCCATATTTAAGTACATTAAAATGTAGGTTTTTACCGATTTAGGGCCGGGATATACTTAATTATACTTAAGGGGGCCGGGGGGGGGGGGGGGGGGTCTTCATCAAAATTCTCTCGAAATTGACTTTATAGTTGTTTCTGGTAGAGGGGAGTGATATATACCAGCTGCTTTTGGTCCCATGGAAAAATATTGTTCCTAGCCGAAATTATCGCTGGTCTAAGGTCAGCGCTTATGTGTAATTGTATTGCGCGAGCGATTTTCAATCGCAAATTCTGAAAATCGAGTCTAAAAATCTATCTTCTCCTACATTTTTTGAGCAATCACCCTGAAACTTTCAGGATATGTTCTAGGGACCATTTAGAAGATTTGATCGAGCCAAAATTTTGAGATAGGCCTTTAAAATTTTTTTATTCAATTTTGAAAATCTTGGACCTCGTTTTTTTACGATTTTTTCAGGTCCAAGATTTTCAAAATTGAATAAAAAATTTTTAAAGGCCTATCTCAAAATTTTGGCTCGATCAAATCTTCTAAATGGTCCCTAGAACATATCCTGAAAGTTTCAGGGTGATTGCTCAAAAAATGTAGGAGAAGATAGATTTTTAGACTCGATTTTCAGAATTTGCGATTGAAAATCGCTCGCACAATACAAATACACATAAGCGCTGACCTTAGACCGGCAATAATTTCGGCTAGGAACAATATTTTTCCATGGGACCAAAAGCAGCTGGTAGATATCACTCCCTTCTACCAGAAACAACTATAAAGTCAATTTCGAGATAATTTTGATGAAGACCCCCCCGCGCCGGCCCCCTTAAATGGTCAGCCCCCCCCCAACTCCATTTTTGTATGGAGGAAGGAGACATTAAATATTAACAAGGTCTATCCTACTCAATTTTTGGGTTTTGACAGTTTGTTTACAGCTTTATTTTTTAACAGAGTGATAGTGACAAAAAGGAGCTGAAAACATACAGATAGAAGAACATGTAGAATTAGAGACAATTATCTCCAAACATTTTACATAATTGGATTAAAGATGCATGTTATTTCGGAAAACTTATAAATCGCATGATCTATAATACATGATCAATATTTGTTTATTTAAGACAATATACTAGTATTTACAGCACTTCAAAATATTTATTGAGTAAATGATGGACATGTTTTAATTTGGTTCAGTCAGTTCGGAACCTGACTGCACAGCATTTAAGTTTGCGTCTGATTTCTCAACGAATAAGGGGTCGTTCACATATTATGTAATAAGTGAACGACCCCTAGGCATGTTAAGCAAACTGCTTACAAATATTTCGTACTTCTACATTTGCTTTGCCCTGTCTTGTAGAACTAGAAACAGTATGTAATTCTACTAAATTGTAGATACTTTCGACTCATGAACATTGTATAATTTATATGAGAAAGTTATTATGTGATGATCATTTAAACAATACAATATCAGTCAATATAATACGTAAAACCCAGTAACATTAGTAAGTAACTTCAAAGATATCTACTACAAAACTTAAGTTAATAATTAAGTTAATATTCTCGAAAATTTATGAGAAACTTATGCATGCTCGTGTTTTAGAATTTTTAGATAAGAACGATTCTCTTTTCGAAAATCAATACGGATTTCGGCCAGGAAGATCGTGCGAACATGCACTGCTCAATGCCCAAAATTCTATACTACACTCTCTGAATAAGAAACAAATTTCCCTACTGCTCCTGCTCGATTACAGTAAAGCCTTTGACGTGCTTGATCATGAGACCTTACTTAAGAAGCTTGACCATTGTGGGATCAGGGGAGTCGCGCACGAATGGTTTAGATCTTACCTTTGTAATCGATCTCAATACGTAACTTTAAACGGAACTTGCTCTTCTAGCATGCCCATAGTTTACGGCGTACCTCAGGGTAGCATTTTAGGACCTCTCTTATTTGTAATTTATATAAACGACCTACCTGGAATTAGTGATTTTGCAAAGTTCATCCTTTATGGCGACGACGCAAACATATTAATTAGTGGAACCACCCTAGAAGAAATACAATTAAAAGCTAATCAGCTAATTTCACGTCTTGTAGATTGGGTAGGTGCTAATGGGCTATCTTTAAATGTAAAAAAGACGTGTTACATGATTTTCACTAGAAAAAGAATCGACTTCAGCGGCTTTAATTTGAAGCAAGATTTTTAGGAGTGATCCTAGACGAAAAGCTCACTTGGCAAAAACACATTACGGCAGTTAGAATAAAGATGGGTCGCTACCTCGGAGTTATGTATAAGCTAAAGCACCTTCTACCTATCAAAGCCCGCCTAAACATTTTCTAAAGCCTTATCCAATCCCATCTAAATTTCTGTTCTTTAGTGTGGGGATTTGCCTCAAAATGTCACATTGAATCTCTGTTCACCAAGCAAAAGCAGGGAATTAGAGCTGTTATGTCAGGATATGTAAATTATAGATATAAAGACGGCAATCCCCCGGAGCACACAAAAAGTGCGTTTAGATTGCATAATATCCTAACAGTCCATAGCGTCATTGTAAAAAACGCTCTTATTCTACTACACAAAGTAAGGAACATGCCAAGCCTTCTCCCTAAATCCATCAAAGAACTTTTCCCTCACGATATTCCCACCTATAATTCCACATACGAACATAACCTTTCTTGGTTCACAACTTACAACGGCCCAACATTTAGAAATACTTTTTTCTTCAAAGGACCCATGCTCTCTATTACAAAACAAAGTAAGGATATAACTATTCCAAGTTCTACCTTTTCAATTGAAATCTTTAAAAATTCAGCTAAGCGCGAACTCCTCAAGCTGCAAAGCTCAGGAGACGATGAAAATTGGCCAAATTTCTTACTTTATAGTATACCTGGGCTAAGAAAGTCTCAAAGAGAAGGGCGCTCGCAGATAGACTACAACACCGAGTTAGTAAGCGACAACGCGTGAAGAAAGATCACTCGCGACAAATGACCATGATCTTTTATCAACAACATATCATTTTAATTTCACTGCCATTATGCAATGCCGAGTTTACATCTGCCGCGCAAAACTTTTTATCTATTATTATTAAATAGTAATTAGCATGTTTACAAATTGCGACTTCAACCAGTTTTGCAGACCGTTAGTTATATAGTACTTTTAGTAGGGCATTTATTTTAATATATTTTATTTTACATTATTATATTTTAGTGTGACTTCTATAATTTCATTTATGTAATAACCATTGATTAATAAATTGCGGCACACGCCAACCTCCACCGTGGGGTTTCAAAACAAACATAATGTTTTATCACGCGAGCTACAGGCTCCAATTTCTCTAATAAACGATAAATGTTATCATCTGCATTAACTTCATTATAATATTCACTATCTGTACTATCTAAACTATCTTCATCTGATGATAACGGGTGGTGTAGTATCAGAACAGAGCACTTAACCCGTGCTCGTGATATTGCAGTATAAAGAAGACTCAGATCATGATGCGTATATCCATCCAATCTAAGCATCGCAATAACAGCAGGCCACTCACTTGAAAAGCAATCGCAACACTTACACAGTATTATTTTATCAGTGTCGTAACCTTCAGTTCTCAGAGTCTCTACAGCAGTCTGTACAACCATAAAACCATAATCGTCGTTGTATATTATTCCTATATCAGTATAATCTAAATCATTTGTCTTCAATAACATCTTAAATTCATTTATCAAAAGGTCTTTCATCATTATATTACTGGAATCGTAACCGAATCCCTCCATAAAATGTATCGCAATTAATGGTCCATGTATGAAATGTCCATACTCCTGTTTTGAGCAAAAGTTCGCTCCCGCTGCGCTATTTGCAGTATGTAAATCCCTTAACACATCTAAAACAGTTGATATGTCGAAGGTGTTCCTCAAGTTTTTAGACAAAGAAACTCGCTGCTCATCCGACAACAACGCCAGTTCACCTAAATATTCGTCATTAAAGGAGTGATAATACTCACACCATAGAGACTGTATCATGTCACATGCTACCCACACGTGGTGTTCATCAGATAACTTCATTAGAGTACCAATTAACTCTAGCGTCGTATAGTCATGGTAATCAAGATAGCTGAAGACAACCTGCATATCGTCCATAAATACACTACTGTCCGTCTGAGATGCTACCAGATTCGTTATCTTTTTTTTTAGGTGATCAAAATTGAAATCACTTAGTGGTTCCAATTCCATGTTGACGATAACAACTTGATAGAGTTCCTTACTTCTACTTTCTGCATTTATTGTCTCGTCAACTCCTGTGAACCAGTCGTCTTGAAATTCACCCGTGATCGTCTGATATCTTACCCCTGCTTTACCCAGTGCAGTTTCATACAAGTTAGCATTATTACCTTCACCAGCAAATGTGATGACCACGATCTTGTTCTTCTTATCAGATAACGCTAACTCTAGAATCTTCCCGCACATTATAACTGTTTTACCAGTCCCAGCCGGTCCATGTATGAACAACAACTTTTCTTTTAATTTTAATGTATTGTATTGTTCAGCAGTCAAATATTTGATACCGACAAAATCTTTTACGTTAGGAGGAGCTTCTACTACACCAGGATTTGAATTAAAATTTCTCTCTCCCTTTTTCTCAAACGTGACAATTGCGTTCCTCAACTGCTCATCAATATGTCGGATATTCCATCCCAAAGAACATCTCTTTTTCTCCCATGTATTATCCTTGTTAGCTCGCAAAGCGAGAAGGACGTTCTTAGTCTCCTCAAATGTTTCAGGACACTGCATTCTTTCAGAAGCTTTGTCTGTGATGTTCTTCTTCCACCAACGGCGGAATTTCTCGTCATTATATGGGTCCTTGTATTCAGTTGGTGCAACAACAACCTTGAATACTGAAGGGATAACACTTCCTAACATTTCAGCAATCCCCAGAATAAGTTTTTCTGTTCGACTCGCTTGAAGTTTTCCATACCCCAGATCAGCTTTGTTTTTCTTGACTTCAATGATAACGAAATAGTTTTTTCCCATTATAACAAAGTCACACTCCCCTTCTTTAACATCGTCGTCTCGATCACATGGCGTCCCTTTCTTATTGCCAGTTATGTATAAATGGTCTCCAACGAAAATCTGGTAATCACTGTGAAGGTATCCCAAACTGTGAAGTACTATGATTTCCTCACCTTGCTTCATTCTCTCAAGAACCCTAAAAACCTTAACCTCAGCCTCAAACCCATCTTTGTTATCTTTAAGTGATTCACAGTATTCCTTAACTTCTGGCTTTGTTTTCTTGACCTTGTTGACAGATTTCCAATCAATTTTATCGACGAATTTAGATATCGGCATTGGTGGCACCATAACCGGGTAATAGACAGATGGTTGTTCTGGACTCTGTTTGGGTAGTGGTTGGAATGTTGGGATGTAGTTTTCACGTATATCTTTACCGTCTGTTTTCAGTTCTGCGACCCGAGCACCTGATAAATTGTTTGGCATATAACAAACGGTTGATAATTCAGCGCTTTATAGATATTATTATTAACAACACATAAAAGGATAGTGGGTATCTATCTAATTCTGTGGATTTTGACCCTCAGGGAGATAAAATTGCAACAGTAAAAGAGGACATTAATCTTACCAATTAGGTCTGATTGGAGTTTTGTTGAACTTGAAGGTTCGTTTTCAGTCATTTTGATCTTTCTAGCACATTCTAGAAATTGTTTTGTAAGTCAGATTTTATAGACAGTGTGACGTATGATAAATAATTAAAGAATTCGTCTTAAATTTTATTGATTTTCAACGAGTAAAATTAGTACTTGTGTTTTCAGCTAATTAAAATGTGGTGAATTTAAGATTAGCCACAAAAAGTAATGACACAGCAATTATTCAATAAAATACCAATATATTGTAAATCATCATAAATAACTTAAATTCTACTTTAACAATCTCGAGCTATATAAACTGTTTTCCTAGACCGCAAATAAGTTCAACAATAATTCTTACTCTGTTGGCTAAGCTAACAAATTCAACAGGGTCAACACAGTTCAACATGTTGACACGTGCAACACTTTTAACATGAGTCAAACACATTTAAAACAGTCCACGAAGAGGTTATTGAAAACATGACATAGTCATAATCAAGACTTCAGTAAGTCAATACATTGATAAAATTGAAAAAAAAAGAGAATATATATTCTCAAAACTATAACGTTTGTAGTACTCCCATTCGATGAATAACTCATTAAAAATACAAAAATATGTTTATTAAACTAAACGCCGATAACCACAATAGTTCGATGATTTAAATCATACTAAGAAAACTAACTATTGTCAACAATCATTGCTCCATTAGATGCCAAAATAGCTTATTTACTTAATAAAGCAATATCTTCTTGACCTTTCTGAAGATTAAATATATGATAAACATCCCCCTGGCCCCCACAATATTAATCACAATCACAAACATCATATTAGTATATAATCATTACCTTTAAGTTTCGGCTAACAATAAGATTTTCAAGAAAATTCAATGTCCCACTCGTCGGACAGAACAAGGTTAGGTTTCTTTAAAGTAATCGAGTGTGAGGATTTGCTGAAAGTTGAGATTATCGGACTTCCTGTGGGGATTGGAATCATCAATTGGATAATTAGATAATTGATTAGTAAGTATATCATAATTATATGTATTATAATTAACAAGCATATCATCACGTTCTTATGAACTTATCGAAGATTCAATCGGCTAAATCAGCCAAATTAAACAATGCTCCAAATTAATTTCCATTAAAACTAAATCAAATTTCCATGAAAATATGTATAGAAAATTATATAAAGATTTGAACAAATGAAGAAAAAAAATGTAAAAAGTTTTGTTACCGTTGTGAGAAGCAGATAGCGAGTTATCAACTCCCAGAATAACTACTCTCTCCACACCGGCTGACTTGTAATGAGCCTCTTTTACACCAGACCTGGAGAAAGTACACGTGATGTAACATGTGATATAACGCGTGATATAACACGTGGTGTAACACGTGGTGTAACACGTGATATAACACGTGTTATATCACGTGGTGTCATTGTGACCTGGATATACTGATATACACCAAGTTATTGACTATTGGGATAAAAGTCGAATTTAGTAATCACCGCGAGTTAAAATATATTTAAAAATATTTAAAAACTAAAAATAATGGATATTATTTCTGACCGGCACGATAGTTTATTGCCCGTGAAGCTGAGGTTCTGAAAACTAAACTTGTTGTTTTTGTAGTCGAACGATTTGCCATCGTCAACATACGCTTCACCCTTCGCTTCACCCTGTGGTTATTACATAATTAATTAATTATTACAGAAATAATTAATTAATTATAACTTTTTTAATCAACGATTCATGTAGTACACAAAAATGGCAGTATTACATTAAAACAACGCGCTTGCGAAGATAAACGTATTTAATGCCAAATCAGTGATTTTTACAGAAGACAATTCAGAAAAATATCACGTGACGCCACAAATCACGTGACGTCATAAACCACGTGACATCACACGTGCAGTGACTATTTACACGTGCTATGACGTCACAACCCACCTTGTTATCAAGAGCCACGATAATAGTATATGGATCAGACTCCATTAATTGGGAGGACCGTCTGACTCTCATTTTAGTTACTAATATACTTCCTGAGATAAATAGTAGTAGTGAAATATAGTAGTAGTGAAATACAGTTTAGAAAATCACTTTAAACACAAAGTAGTAGTGAAATATAGTAGTAGTGAAATATAGTTCAGAAAATCACTTTAAACACAAAGTAGTAGTGAAATATAGTAGTAGTGAAATATAGTTCAGAAAATCACTTTAAACACAAAGTAGTAGTGAAATATAGTAGTAGTGAAATATAGTTTAGAAAATCACTTTAAACACAAATAAAAGTTGAATATTGTCTTTGGACTTTTGAAATATGATTTGGAACATTAAAATAACGTTGTTCGAATCTCATACAGAAAAAATGTATTTCAGAGTAAATGTGAACAGTAACGCTTCCCAATGTAATTTGAGCTACTCTCGGAGGACAGAATTATTTAACTCAATAGTGTATACACTATAGTGTATACAAGAATTACTATTAGTATTATATGGAGATGTAAAATGTTTACATACATTTTACATAATCTTCATATAATACTAATTCTTGAATGACTTGATGCACATGTTTTTAATATATTTTTAATGTATAAGCGTGCAATAAACGTAATCATTTATTCAATTATTACATTACCTCCTTTAATAAAGAGTGGAGTAGAGGAGAGTTTAACAGAAATGTGCATAGTTCCAGGAGAGTATTTAGTATAACTGTGATAATCGTACCAGACCTGCCACAATATTTACTTGAGTTTCACAGCTGTTATCTGACGAAAATGCTCAAGAAAAATAGACTTTGAAGTCAAACATATCAGAACTTCACCACATGTGATTAAAAACATTATTACTTGAGTTAAGAACTATATTTTGTGTTAAGGAAACCTGTGGACCAGGGAGAGTAACCAAATGACTCTTCTCGTTGGACTCCAGGACAGGTGAAGATAACAGACTGTCTCCCAGTAGGAACTCTTCTTGGTTTGAGTAAAGGGAGGTGTCGGAGGGATGGTCGTACCATAGCGGTCTGCAATATAACTTACTCTTATCATTACTTATCATTACTTAGTACCATAGCGGTCTGCAATATAACTTACTCTTATCATTACTTATCATTACTTAGTACCATAGCGGTCTGGAGCATAACTTACTCTTTACTTACTGGTTATATTACATTATAACTTACTCTTATCATTACCTACTGGTTATATTACATAACTTACTGATTATCATTACTTACTGGTTATATTACATAACTTACTCTTATCATTACTTACTGGTTATATTACATAACTTACTCTTATCATTACTTACTGGTTATATTACATAACTTACTCTTATCATTACTTACTGGTTATATTACATAACTTACTCTTATCATTATTTACTGGTTATATTACATAACTTACTCTTATAATTATTTACTGGTTATATTACCTCTTAAAACATGAAATTGCTGATCATCACTTCTGATAACTTGAAAAAGCTCAACAATTGAGATTCAAAACATATATTAGCATAATATGACGTCATTACCCATTAAGAGGCAAATAAAATGACGTCATCACACTGTCACGTGACATTAACTAACCTCATAATAGGGGAATTATCAACAGAGGCTTTATAAAATTGGGTATAAATGTAAGGTAGAAGCTGATAACGCAGGATAAGTGCATCTCTTATCAAAGCTGTGTTTTCTTCACCTGAAACACAAGAACTTATTTTTTAAAGGAAAATTATTGGATATTACTTTAACGAAACTGTTCCTTAAATATGAATCCTGTATCAATCCTTCGCGGGTACTTGAGTACCAAATAAATTAATTAGCTTTTAAAATACATGCGGAAGAAAATGCCTTATTCAATAAATAAAAATTCAAAAATGTCATAATAAGATGAATAAAAACAATTAAAAAATATAATATAAGTTAAAAGATAAAAGCAACTCACCAAACAACCAGGGTTCCCGGCGTCTGGTATCAATGTGTGCGTGAGCACGAAGGAAGGGTTGTAATACACCAACCTGGTGGAGAATACTTTAGATATCATATATACACCCTTATATAATATACCCTTTATAGAGCTAGACAACAATTTGTTGATTTTATTAATGATAAATGTAAAAAAGTGGTACATGATCTGGACATGCTTAAGATAATGGACATTGTTTAAAGATACTATTTAAGTAAAAAGAAAAGCACAGATATTCCCAACTTAAGCACTCCTTCTAGAATAACAGCAGTAAGAAACCCACTGGATACTGAAAATGTAGCTCACCTGGTACCACCTAACTAGCAGCTCCGTGGCTGGGTTCCCGAAGAAACCCCCAACATCCGCCCCCACGAAGGGGTATCCCGCTACGTTTAAAGAGAGTAACATTGGGATGGACATCTTGAGATGCTCCCAGGAGGCGTAGTTATCCCCCGTCCAGATGGGTCCTGAAGTAGGAATATGTATAAGATAAATCACGTGGCGTTATCACACCGTCACGTGACGTCATCACACATTCATACCGTCACGTGATGTCAACACTCTGTCACGTGACGTCATCACACATTCACACCGTCACGTGACGTCAACACTTTGTCACGTGACGTCAACACTCTGTCACGTGACGTCAACACTCTGTCACGTGACGTCAACACTCTGTCACGTGACGTCAACACTCTGTCACGTGACGTCAACACTCTGTCACGTGACGTCAACACTCTGTCACGTGACGTCAACACTCTGTCACGTGACGTCAACACTCTGTCACGTGACGTCATAACACTGTCACATTATGTCACGTTCGGAAACTCAACATCATGGTAAATAAAATAAATGCCCAGCTCACCTATCCTATGGGATCCTACAAAGAACGCTCGGGACAGCACGAAGGGGCGAGCAGTATTCTGAGATCGGAGAACTTGTCCATCACTAGATGCTTTGTGCATGTAGTGTCCGTATATATTGTGGACATCACGGTGCTCCCACTGCTCTGCGTGTAGGTTGTCTTTAGGCATGCTCACCTGAGGAGAGTGAGAGTTAAAGGTTCCTACTCAAATTCTAGGAAGTTTTTCTGGTTTCCTGGTCCATCTCAGAG